ACATACTGAAATAAAACTACTGATTGAAAACTTTATGACTGTGGTTGTACAATATATGACTCACTAATACACTGCAAACTCCCTTAGAGTGGGGCTTCCAGAGAGAGAGAGAGAGAGAGAGAGAGAGAGAGAGAGAGAGAGAGAGAGAGAGAGAGAGAGACAGAGAGAGAGACAGAGAGAGAAAAGTTCTTGCCTCATTAATGAATTGTTTATTTTTTTCAGTATTTAATTGACAAATTATCCTTTCAAATAATTAATTGATGAGTTACATAATTGTCCATTTAGAATTGTTGAATGGACTGAGTCAAGTTTGGTGCACTTTATATATTTCAAAACATGTTTTTTTTTATTTTAATGATGCATTCTCCTTACCAACTTTTAAAATAGCCCACTAGTGAAGGCCTGGGCAAAGAAGCCTGATGTCTGAGAACCTCAACATATGTACGGCAACCACACTGTATATTTACACACTTTCATAAAGAAACTGCATATCAAGCTTTCATTCAGATGACCTTCAACAGTGCTGCACCCTGCTGAGGGACATCCGAGTAAAACCTTGAGATGGCCATTTTCTGTTCACTAACTTGCTTTAGTAAATCCTTACTTTTGTTAAATAAATCAGTTGTTGAACCCCCACTCCTCTGTTTGGTCTCCTTTCTTATTACAGCCCACCACTTCCAGTCTGGGTTGTAACAATCTGCAGACAGATTTCTGAGTATCTCCTCCTTCGGTACACAGATCCTCACTGAGCCATGTACTGTGAACAAATAGTTTCTCCATGATATTATCCAGCAAGGTCCCGTTTTTGTCAAAACAAGGGTGAGGTAATGAAAAAATAGAAATATTTCATTAAATTAACATTTAAATTATTTATATGCATCATTAAAATAAAAAAAAAACATGTTTTGAAATATATAAAGTGCACCAAACTTGACTCAGTCCATTCAACAATTCTAAATGGACAATTATGTAACTCATCAATTAATTATTTGAAAGGATAAGTTGTCAATTAAATACTGAAAAAAATAAACAATTCATTAATGAGGCAAGAACTTTCTCTCTCTCTCTCTCTCTCTCTCTCTCTCTCTCTCTCTCTCTCTCTCTCTCTCTCTCTCTCTCTCTCTCTCTCTCTCTCTCTCTCTCTCTCTCTCTCTCTCTCTCTCTCTCTCTCTCTCTCTCTCTCTGGAAGCTCCACTCTAAGGGAGTTTGCAGTGTATTAGTGAGTCATATATTGTACAACCACAGTCATAAAGTTTTCAATCAGTAGTTTTATTTCAGTATGTATTTTTCCAGTATCACAAAAAATGTAATTTTATATGGTTAAAACCATCTAGCTTATGTGCACTTTTTAAAACACTGCCCAGCAAACATTCGGACGTTTAATGACAGTTGAACGGTCACGACTGTAAAATACCTGAAATTAAGAAAAATTAACATGACATCTACTGCATTTTCCTTGCCCGGCCTCGAACCTGGATCCTCCGGGGCGAGAGTCACCCGCTCTTCCAACTGAGCTATGCCAGCAACTACTTGACTAGTAGACTTTTTTATATAGATAGGTAGAGGGTAAAGTGCGGGGTACACTAACCAATCAGAGGACAGAGGAGATCTGCCACAGGCCACGCCTCCAGAGTGCCAAAACCCTTACAGCCGAGCGAGCAGGAGTCAGAAACCGAGCGCGCAGAGAGGCTGCCGAGCGCGCACAGAGGCTGCCGCGCGCGCACGTTTTCCTCTGCCGTGTGCTCGTTGACAACGCGCGCACGCAGGTTTGTCACTTGTGCACATCCTTGTGCGCTCACAGACACAGTTTGCTCCCTCTCAGTGCACAAATGACCTCTCGCCATGTATATTTCCGCTCGCGAGTCCCGTTCACACGCGCGCTGTGGACCCAATGCGCGTGCACGGGTTTTGACAGGGGTATGACGCGATACAATCCTCTGTTTCACAGTCATCAAAGGAAGATAAACGCACCTTTGAGACTGCAACGCCTTTCTTTAGACACGTTTTTTGGGCTCAGTCAACTCAAAGACCGTTACAAGAGTCAGACGGCCACATCAACTTAACCTAGGCAATTAGCCATATCTTGATATGTTTATTTTTTTTAATTTACTGTCCACGCATAAGAAAATATTTTCATTCTCTAAATCTGTGACTATGGTCTTGAGTCAGAGATGAGGGTCTGCCTCAAATGGAGGAGTTTAAGTTGTTACTCAATAAACTAGACTGATACTCGGTTAAGAACGTCTCCTTTATTCCGCCATGACACCGTCGAACTCCCACAAAAAGGCCATTCGTCCGGAAGCAACCACACACTTCCAGAATAAAAGCATATATGCCAACAGATGGCGCAGGAGATCAATATTATCATTAATATTATCTGCAGTGATGTGGACGTTGTACCGATCTGTCATGGCGAAGAGAGAGCAGAGCCGGAAGGCAAAGCTCTTGATTTATCGGTCGATCTACGTTCCTACCCTCACCTTTGATCACGAGCTTTGGGTAGTGACGGAAAGAACGAGACTGCGGGTACAAGCGTCTGAAATGAGTTTTCTCCGCTGGGTGTCTGGGCTCTCACTTAGAGATAGGGCAAGAAGTTCGGTCGTCTGGTATGGGCTCGGAGTAGACCCGCTGCTCCTCCACATCAAGAGGAGCCAGTTGAGGTGGCTTGGGCATCTGGTTACGACGCCTCCTGGATCCCTCACTAATAAGGTTTTCCAGACACATCCAACTGGGAGGAGACCCAAAAGTAGACCTAGGACACGCTGGAGCGACTATGCTTCTCAGCTGGCCAGGGAATGCCTCGGGATTTTCCCAGAGGAACTGGCCCAAGTGACTGGACACCTTGCTCTGAGCTACTGCTGCGCTATTATAGGACTCTAGAAAGACTCTAGAAGGTGCATAACAAATACAGGCCATTTTACCATTCATCACATAGTTTCCATTATATGGCCTACCATTAAAAACTTAGTGGAGTAGCTTTGGCTGACAATTACAAACCACTGATTTAATATTATCTCTAGTATGAAATTTGTCCTTTGTTGCAAGAAAAAATAACTCATTACAGAGGTTTCCTGGTTTCTTAATCCTCCCACTGTCTTTATGGGTGACCCCGTGAGGAAAGTTGACCACTGAGCAGGATTGATGGTTTATCCCTTGAGGTCCACGTGGCAGGGGTGAGGTGGTGCTCACTCCTCACCCCTGCCACATGGGCCCATGGAATAATGGGTCACACCCATTAGGACAGTGGGAGGGATAAAAGTAGCAGGGTATATAAAAACTTTATCAGAGTGCACTGGACTCATTTTACAAAGCATGTGAGTCTTGCACTCAGCAAGTTGCTGGCCATTATTTTCCTAACATATCCCAACACTTGGTGAGGGGGGTGTTAACATGCAGTAGTTAGGACTTTATTTCTAACAAATGGAAAGCAAGCTTCAGGCTACTTGTTTAGCAGTCTACATATGACACCTCCACTAGAAGAGTGCCATGACTGCAGTGCTATACATTCTCATGTCTCCTAATTAGAAAGGTTTGACTATGGGCTTAGTTAGATCTGCAAGAGACTCCTCTACAGATAACAGCTGAACTATCTTCACCTCTTTCCTCCTCACACTACTCTAAGAGCACACCTGTCCTGCTTCCCTGCTACCTGTGATTATAAATGGCTCCAGATTTTAAGATTCCCATTTCTAATGTTCCGAGAGTAGAAGCAGGACTGTAGCGATTGACCAAAATTGGCAACAAGTTAAGCAAAACCCCCACCCTACTCCACCATTCGCCCGCCACCTTTTCTTCTATTTTGTCCTCTATCTCTTATCCCTCTTTTTCTGCCAAAAGACCCTTTAAAATATTAAATCAGATTTATGAATGGTCACTGTATTTCTATCCATTAATATCCCATGATTGACACAAAATAATGCATTTGAATTGGAAAAGAGGTAGAGTGTAAAGTTTTAGGTTTGATGGATGTAAATAATTCTTTAAACACCATTTTCTTATTGTAAAAGAGCGGTTGACACCAAGTTTGCTCAATAAAGAAAAAAATACATAGTCAATTCTGATTGGTTTGCGTTGGGAGGAAGCCGGAGCACCCGGAGCACCCGGAGAGAACACACACATGCACAGGGAGAACATGCAGACTTGCAGAAAGACCCCAAGCCGGGATGTGAACACAGAACCTTCTTGCTGCAAGGCATATATATGTACAGTATATATAAATATATGTATATACATATATATATGTATATACATATATATATGTATATACATATATATATATATATATATATATATATACAGTATATATAAATATATGTATATACATATATATATATATATATACAGTATATATAAATATATGTATATATATATATATATGTACAGTATATATAAATATATGTATATACATATATGTATATATATACATATACATATATGTATATACATATATTTATATATACTGTACATATATATATATATATATATATATATATACATATATTTATATATACTGTATATATATATACATATATATATGTATATACATATATTTATATATACTGTACATATATATATATATATATATATATATATTTATATATACTGTACATATATATATATATATATATATATATATATATATATATATATATATATATATATATATACACACATATATTTATATATACTGTACATATATATATATATATGTATATACATATATATATATATGTATATATGTATATACATATATATATATATATATATATGTATATACATATATATATATATATATATATATATATATATATATATGTATATATATATATAAATATATATATATATATATGTATATATATATATAAATATATATATATGGACAGAAGTGATGAATTGTTATAAATAACATCACTGAACACCGTTTGCTGAGGATGATTAATGTTTAAACTCTTCTTTTGCCTGAAATAAAAAGAAGAAATGTTAAAAAAATGATACCTATATGAACATCTATTTTGTTTATTTAAGCACAAAATTACTTATTTTTTCTCACAAAGGGCGATTTGGTCCCTGCAGTCACATGTGTGCCAGATTTACACGTGTCCTTGCAAATCTTCAAATATAAAGAGAAGATATTATTTTCCACAGTTTCATAATATTATCAACAACTAAGCAGCTCAGTTGATGCAGAAGACTCACGGTAAAGCTGGTGGTTGAGTTTGTCAAGAGAGAGAAGGATTTTCTTCTCCTCTGAGGAAATAGGGGCGAGCCCCTGCTGTTGCAGCACGGTTCCAGGCCTCAGCGTCTCCGTAACGCCCACAGTTTGATTCTCACTCAGAAGGCCTTCAGCCAGGTAGAACTGAGCTGTAGTCTCAAAACCTGAAACAACGTTAGAAAGAAGGCCCCTTTTTCTTTTGTCACAGTAACACTGCTGGACCTTTCCATTACTGTCAGGTTTGAATACCAATTTAAAATGTTATATTGTCATTTTAAAGGAGCAATATGTAAGAATTTTACAGTGAAATAATCACAAAACAGTCTTAATGCCTCAATCTTGTCGGAAGGAAGGTTACATTGAAACAGATTTCCTTGTCAGTCGGCTAGGAGGTTGTCAGTTTTCCTCCTTTCAAAATAGCCAAAAAGGGATGTAGCCTTTGTTTACAATCTGTGAGTCCACGCTTGCCAAATCTGCAGTTGCATTTGTAATTCTACACTGGCCAGCAAGATGCAGCAGTGTGTTTAAACATCTGAATCCAGCAACAGGTGCAAACCTAGTTGTTTCTTGTACCCCTAAGGAGCCATGGCCAATTTTTGTTTTACTCTGATATCGGCTAAATGATGCTACATCCTAACATTGAGCTAATTATGAACCTGCACAGTCAGCTCTACAAAAATCTCAAGCTACTTTTTGAATTCCCAGCAACTTGATTTTACAGTGAAATTTATTTATCTACTTATAAACTTACGGTGTAGGACTCATCTTTGCTTGGTATCTAGAATCTTCTGGCACTGATCTGTAGCTAGCAACAGCCATGACAGAAAACGGCAGTGAGAAAGTCACTGATTTGTTTGGAAATGAGCTGCAGTAACCAAAGTTGACCACAAGATGTCCTTACTTCATTCTTACATAATGCACCTTTAAGTAAAAGACACTGAGAAAAGTATATGAAAAACCTTTACCTTCATTTAAATTTGTGCTACAAGTACTTGAAACTGCTTTTTGCCCAGAATTTTGTCTTGTAGGCTACAAAAAACAAAATAAAAATGTTAAACCATATAACTTTCAAACTGAGTTTGCATTGTATGGATTAATTTGTATTATATATTTTATAAATTTATTTCATTGATACTTTTTTTCTGAATTTATAAAATAGTCTTTATTTTTACTCATCTTGTCTTGAAAAACTCACATTTCTAACAAATTTTTATTCAGACTAGTCGACTAACTGACTTATCTTAATTATTTAAGCTCACTGGAAAACTTCCTAACAATGTGCAAATGTACCCGAGACATCCGAAGAAGTCTCCTGCTTCCTGACCCCGGAGGCTGTCTGCTCTGGTCAGTGCCAGGTTTCCTTGAGCCCTGTCTGCTCTCCTGAGCATGTTTTTTACCTACGGAACAAAAAACGGTTTAAACTTATGAAGAGTAGTGTTGAGATATAAATTGTTATGGTTTGAAACTAACGAGCCTGAGGGACACTACAGATACAGTCAATTTCAAAAACCTAGCCTATGTTTCTGAAGAACACATTACCATCCTTTGTGTGTAAGGCGCTACGGACACCGTGCCACAGCTGTGAAATCTCATCATCTGTGGGAGTGATTTCCAGTGCGTTGCCATTTTCTCTTCCTGTCTTGTTGTGAGACTCCTGATGACCTGACATGGGCATGCTCTTCGTGTCACCCTCTGAAAGGGGGCATGTGCACAAGTGCGGTTGAGGTGTGTACATAACAGCACAGTCTGTTTTGATTACACGTTTGGGAGGTGAGAAAATTCTCACTGAGTTGTTCCTGGACAGGCCCTCCTCTACAGCCCGGGCCTGTTTACAGTTCATGCCATATGGAGTGCTATTGATGTGCATTTTTTCTTCCACGGACTCTGTCCTGGGAGGTGGGCGGGGCACCATGACCATCCCTTGGGTTTTGGCAATCTGATTCACCTCGGTGGCAGATTGAGGTCGTATGACAGTGCCCTTTCTTGTCCACGAGGGAACAGGACCCTGTCCAACTCTGGCGGAGCGATCTCGCTGAGGGACTTTTGAGCCATTGGTCTTGGTGCTGCTATGTGCCACCTTGACCTCGTGTTCTTGTTCCAGGGGCAAGTTGACTTGAACTCCAACATCTGCCCACGCTTCTTTGGTAAAGTGATATCCAGCAGAGGCAGCCGGGGTCAGACTGGGTTCAGACTTGTCAGACGCTGACTCTGTAGTGAGTCTTGGCTGGTGGTCTTTTCTCGTATGGACCTCATCAAACCAGCGCAGCTTCTTTTTTATACCGTTGTTGATCTCCACTTCTTTGGCTCTTGCTCTTGTTATTTCAACACTATCTCTTATTGCTAATGCTACACGTTTTGCAAAAGTAAAATTCTCAGGGCCATATCTACATGAGCCATATGGCGACATGTATTTGGTCTGTTTTTTAAGGATTCCCTTAATAAATCTGACTTTGCTTACTGGATGAGACGAGACCTCTGGAGAAGGCTTATGTCCGTTTTCCTCCTGAGGACATTCAGAACACTCTCGTGTTTCTGAATGAATATTGGACAAACTAGCATTTTGCAGTGATGCTGTATTTATAGCTTTCTCAGCTTTGAGCTCTGAATTTAAAACCTTATTGAGATTATTCATGTTAGCACATGGCTCTTTTTGAGACGACAGGTAGTAGGCTTCTTTTTCTGTTTGCATGAAAGCTCCGATGAAATTATCTGCTGTGCTTTTTGTTTGGGGAGTCCAAAACAAAATGTCCTTGCCATTTTTAGAAGTTTCAGACATATTTGTGGCTGACTGGTGTTTCAATCGATTGTCATCATAAACGTCCTGCTCTTTTAGAATAAAGACAGCCTTTTGTTTGGGAAATGAGGACTGGACTGTGTCACTAGGATCATCTCTATTATTGTGAGTTTTTTCAGAGTATTTTAACTCAAAGTGCTTGGGATCTTCATTGGGAAGTTTACAATGAGTTAGTAAGTCGCTGTTATGTGGGGTAGGCTTGTTCTCTGTTGTAGTTTGTTCCTCATTAGAAGTGAATTCCCAAGAAGCTTTAGGAATACTGGTGTCCTCACTGGTCCAATCAGAGGCAGCTTGTTTTTCCTGCGTAGGTTCATGTAGTTTTGGTAGTTGGGCAGAATTTTCATCAAGAAGCATCATTGCTGAGAAGGAAGCTGAAGTTGGACACAAATCATTTTGTTCTGAATTGGTCTTCCTGAAGTCAAGCGGAAGTGAAAAGTCGGAGCACTGAGGATCCGATGGGCCTTGATCTACGTCTTCGTTCTCCAAGCTGTCTTTACTTGAAAGGCTGTCGGAATGGCAGCAATCAGAGCCATGGCTGCCCTGGCAAACACAAACAAAAGGCTTATTAAAAACATAACAATAGTGTATAATTTTACATGAAACCCATGGGTGGACTGCAAATGTAAGATTATAGTTGGACTCTATTGATTGGGAGATTAAATACTCAAGAGTTGTATTTTGATCAGGACACAAAAACAACATTTAATGCACACAACTTCATTTAAAATATTCAAATATTTGGGGTCCCATCCTGTGTTGAGCACTGAATGTCCAAATAATGAAATAAGAAATGTTCAAATGTTCCTACTTGCTGAAACGGTGCTCCAGAGGAACGTACGGGTCTAAAGGAATATTTAACTAAAATTCTCAAAAAAAGGCTAATTTATTCATGTTAGGAGTCATTTATGTTATTCAGAATTTGTATTACAATATAAATTATGAACTCTGTTTAAACTGAGATTTCCTTTTTAGCAACTGGGAGGCAATTATGACAAGACTCAATCAATCAATCAATCAATCAATCAATCAATCAATCAATCAATCAATCAATCAATCAATCAATCAATCAAAGCTTTATTTATAAAGCGCCTTCCGCAACCCTGCCAGGAAGCCCAAAGCGCTGAAAGACTGCCCAAAGACTGCATATTATATACATTTTATTTCATTTCAGTTACATTTCATGGAAAACCACATCTACCTAAGGGTATAAATGCAGTTACCCTGATCAAGACATTGATATAAATGATCTTTTTGCAGTAGATCATGCAGGTAACTCGTCTGAGATGCAAGGCTTAACATTTGCCCCCCCACAAAATACAGTAGAATAGAATATGCCTTTACTGACCCTCAGTGGGGAAAATTTGGAGTCCCAGGAGTAACATGAGGGTAAAACATTAAGAATAAAGAGTAAAAAAAAAAAAAATAAACAGCAGAAATGCTTAAGAAACACTTAAAAGATTTAAAATACACAAGTTCCACTAAAACACCTCCTTGATAACACACGCACATGTTCAGATAATGAAACCAGATACCTGCAGGCTGTCATGCTGAAGCGTTTCTATACTGGACACCTCTTGCAGCAGTTCGGCGTAGGCCTCCACAGTAGAAAGGGCTTGGCGGTGGGAAGATTTAGAAACAATGGGAGGCTTAGGTGATGGAGTGCAGGTTCTTCAAAAGAAAACCGAAAACAAAAGCTTTTAAATGTGCTATTACAATGAAAACTGTGTAACCTTTAAAATGAGCTTGTTTTACCTGCTAATGTTTGTGGTGTTGGACAACAGAGACGACTGCTGGGTGTGTGAACCAAAGGTTCCTTGGATCTGACTGAGTGCATCTTCAATATTTGGAAGATTTCTTCTAAGAGCTGTAAAAAAAAGACAAAGAACAACTACAATGTTGCATCACTGTTGATGCATCATTTGTCATTTTTATGCAAAGTGCAAAAATCATAGCACCAACGTTTCCTGTATCTCTGCGATGGAGGCAGATGGGCTCTTTGGAAGCGCTCCGTGGCATCTTGTACTTGCTGTTTACGCTGCTGCAGGATCTTCTCTCTCACACGTTGCTCTTCAACCTTCACCTGATTCCGTCTTTCATCCAAAGCCCTGGGCCATAAAAATAATACAGAGCTGAGCACGAGCCCGATAAACCATTTAACGCGATGCTGATTCTATTTGATAAGGATAAACATGAGTCTGTGCTATCATACACTTTCAGTCATTAATGAATAAATGACACCATGTTCACCACAAAGATGGCTGAGGACTCTGAAAATATCAAAAGTAAAATAATAAATGTGTGTCTGTTAGCTTGTGTTGAGTACAAAGCAGATGTTTGTTAACAAAATTGTGTAAAGGGATGCTATATTTATGGAAAATGTGCAAAATTTGACATAATAAAAATAATACTTTAGTCAAATATAGCATTTTATGACTGATAAACAATTCACAATCTAGCCTGGGTTCATTTTTAGCACATACGGGTGCAGATCCATCAAATCTATTATGATATGTTAAAAAATGTCTAATTCATTCAAGAATATTTGCAATCGTACTTCTACTGACATTAAAGGTGTGGAACACTTGTTTAATCAACAGAGTTGCAGTGGTCTCTAGTAGGAATGAATGCCTTCTAAGTCGTACTGTGGGGCAAAAAACACCCATGCACCAGTTTCAGGAACTAGAAATGAATCCCATCACAGCTGAGCTTCAGACGGCAGGATTTGGAGTCTTACATCATGGACCTTCAACTATCTCACCAACAGGCCACAGTACGTGAGGCTAAACAACTGTACGTCTGAGGTGGTTGTGCAGTACTGGAGCTCCACAGGGTACGGTGCTTTCACCCTTTCTCTTCACCTTCTACACCTCGGACCTCACCTACAACACCAGCAGCCGTCGTCTCCAGAAGTTCTCCGATGACTCGGCCATTGTTGGCTGTGTGTCTGAGGAGAATGACCTGGAGTACAGGTTAGTCATCGTGGGCTTTTTGGATTGGCGTGAGCGTAACCAGCATCGCCTGAACACCAGTAAGGCTAAGGAAATGGTGATTGGCTTCCACAGAAACACTCCTCTAGCCTGGCAAGCCAGACTAAATAAATGTATTATTTAGTCTGGCCACGCTCCATTGACGGCTCTCGGTTGTGGGGCGGGTTCTACCGTTGTCTTTCAAATGATCTCCGCATTCCACTGGACAATGAATGTGACATACTCTTCTTTCACTCTGTTGCATCATCCCACCCACCAGACATATAGAGTGCCCTGATTGGCCCACAAAGCGGATAAAGCTCTGTGATTTGTTCACTAAGCAGATAGAGCACTATGATTGGCCCACCATTATGGACCAGCCACAGCTCTTTATGTGTTTGAAACCCCTCTAGAGAGCTGTGATTGGCTAGCCAGAGTCCTGGTAGGAGCTGCGGAGGTTCCAATGGAGCATGCCTAGACCAAACTTTGTAAAGCAAGAATTTGGTCTAGTTCACTAGGCTAACACTCCTCCTCACTCACCAGTAAACATCCAGACATTGAGGTGGTGGATACCTTTAAGTACCTGCATGTTCACCTCAACAGCAAACTGAACTGATCCCACAACACAGATGCTCAGTATGAGAAGGGCCAAAACCACCTCCACCTCCTGAGGAAGTTGAGGTGCTTTAGAATGAATTCCAATCTGCTAAAATCCTTTTATCACTCTGTCAAGACTGAGACTGAACAAGCTAGTTAAAGAGCAAGTCACCCCCAAATCACATTTTTTTTGCTGATAAACTATATAAAGGAGTGTCTAATCATGCTGCAGACACTTGTAGTCAATAATTTGGCAGTTCAGTGCATCTTGGTTAAAATTCAGATATTCTGCCTAAAACTCTGTGTTGTGCCGTCGTCAGGGAAAAATTCTGCACTGTATTTGAATTTAAATCTGCCACCGCTATTGGCTAAGAGGTATGCTATGATGTCATCTGGTACATTATGATGTCACAGTGCCATTGTGAGCCTGTGTGTGTGTGTATTTGTTAGCGGCTCCGCCCTCTCGGTCTGCCAAGCAACAGCATTTGTTGCATTTTTCAAACATGAAGTGGGAGTGAATTAAGTTTCTTGTAGGGGGTGACTTGCTCTTTAAAAAGGCTAGCTCGGTTCTGGGCTGCTAACTAGATTCAGTTGAGGAGATGTGAGAATGGAGGATGATGGGGAAGATGACCTCCATCTCGGAAAACCCCTCCCACCCACTGCATTCCACTGTGGAGACCATGGACGGCTCCTTCAGAGGCAGACGGAGACATCCCAAATGTAAAACAGAACACAACCGTAGATCTTTTATCCCCTCAGCAGAAAGCGTGTATAACTCAGTTTAAGTTGTACTGGCATTATCCTGGTACACAATGACATCAATGCAATACTCAGTATATGTTCAATTCTTGAGCGATATCAGATTTACATAGTATGCCTATGTCCCTTACAGTGTGCTGCATAGTTCTGGAATCCATGTTTCCTTTTTATTTGTTGTTTTTATTGGTCGAAGGTCACAATAATAGTTTACTGCCTTGTGTGTTTACCTGTAATCTTGTTATTTTTCTTCTTCTCTAAGTGCATGTGCTGCTGTAGCAAGGGAAGTTCCCCACTGTGGGATGAATATTCTATTCTATTATTCCTTTATATCTGGACATCTCACCTTGGTTTGGATACCAGAAACGCGACTCTACCACTGACTTGAAAGGCAAATGTTTTACCTCCACAAATAACACAATTTTGAAAGATTTCTGCCATGTGATGAGGTTGCTAGTGCTAATGATTAGAATCTACTAGCTGAGATGTTCTCTGCTGTTTCCTGGATGCTAAAGCAACAACAGCCTTCCCCATTGCGAGTCAAGATGCGTGAGTCCATGAATGTTAAGTGACAGTGTGAGATCTGTGCACAGACATCATATACATAGACACCCTGTGGACTGGCACTACCAAATGGAGCTGCCTAGTGGCAAGCCGCCGTCTTGGATGGGTCTCCGTTCAGCCCCAGTGCACTAATTTCTACAGAGGAAGGTGTTTACCCAAATAAAAAACACATTTCATTATGCTTATCAGAAATTCTTACATATGGTATGGCATGATAGTTAAAATATAAATAAATAAAATGAATAAAAATATAAAATCGCAAAAAGGTAGGTTAGAATAGTCAATAGAAATCCCACGCAATCTGTTTTCAATGGTGTGCTGGTTGTTACAACTGTAAACTGCATAAAAAAGGGGCATAGTTGCCCACCCTGCATTGACTTGAGTTGGGTTTGCACAGTGAGGAGCTCACCCAATATGGCGGCAACGCTGTTGTGCTTTCCAGCTCCCAATGGGGGCACCTATGTATTATGTATTGTCTATGGATCTGTCAGGCTTTTCAAATCTTAGTGTTTCACTATGGAATCTCGTAGGCGTGGTGCTGAAATTTCAGCCGCGGCGCAGCACCACGCTTCAGCCTATGTAGAGGAAACACTAGTGTTCCACACCTTCAATATATTCTTCATAGTCATATTTAGCCTCACCTGATAATAAAACACATGTAATGGTATTAAAATGGATTTAGAACTAATAGGAGAGAAACCGTTCTAGCTTTCGCCATCAGAGAAGAGACCGCTTCAGTAGAATGGAGCTATTTGCAGGTCTGCAAGATCCTGCCAACAATTAAAACGGCACACACAGAACCAGAAAGCAACACCTGACCTGATCAACGTTACTTTCTGTCAGATGAGTAGCTAAAGAGGTTTGGGTGGCAGACATGGTTCATTTCAGTCAATGAATGCAGGGAAAACTCACTTTCTACGTCGTTTGGTTTCCAGGGAAAACCTGCGAGCTCTGACTTTGCATAACTTCTGCTCCTGAACCAAAAGTTGCCTCTCATTTTCCAGATTTCTTTCATTTCCCAACCTGTACTTTCTGTAAGTATTGTTTAGGATAGAAACTTTATAGATGATGGAAATTGTTGACTTCAGTGACCTTATTATTATTGTTAATAATAATAATAATAATAATAATAATAATAATAATAATAATAATAAATGCCTCACAAATGAAAACACTATTGTGTTATTGTAAGTTTAAGCACACTGCTTCAGCTAATGGGAAACACTTTACAACCATGTGTAGGATACGAAAAGTAGGAAAAGTTTTCCCGGTAAGCTTGCATCCTTCCAAGCTTCGGACGTTGTGGTGACACCGAACAGAAGTTCCAGCTCTGAGCGGTGTCCCCTTTAGCTAACGTTAGCCACACCGCTAAATGTTAAACTCGTTCATCCGTTTTCAAGAGAAAAATAAATGTGTAGAGAAAAAAATCGAATCCACATGGTAACGAGTGTCCACGAAACATCGGGCTTCGTTGACGACGCAAAGAAAAAAACGTATTTCGAGTTCGTTTGTGTACAATTCCTCCTCCGTAGTAACCGAGGACGCACTTCCTTAGCAACCACAAAGGTTCTGGCATGCTGCCTTCAGGTGCATATGAGAGTCTCGTAAAAAGTCAGCTCATAACGTATTGCGTCGATAAACTCTACTAAGCTTCTTGGAAAACATTTTCCAATAAAAAAAGTTCAGTTTTTATACACCATAAACTAATTTAACCCGTTTTCTTTGTTTGGGATGTTGGGTCAAGGCGCTATGTCCACCTAGCTACACTCTGTTTTGTTGCCTTGAAAGAATGGAGGTTATGCGCCCTCTGCTGGCAAAAGCTAGAACTACACCCTAGAGGTCACGACTGGGAGATGCTGCTCCCCAGTGTCTAAAAGCTGATACTACAACTCTGTTTTATCCATTTACAAAGTCTCCTTATTTTGATGCAGCTTTCAAATGTTTCTTTTTCTTTTTCTTTTTTTTTGTGTCCTTTTGGGAATTTCAATTCCAAGGAGAAGGATGAATCATAGAAGGAGAAGAGGAAACTGGATTTATAAAGTTGCAAGATTTAGAAACACTTTCTCTAAATTCTTTCAAAATGAAACACTGATATTTTTGTGTTGGCAACAGGAAACCATGCTCTAAGGGCCTTTTCCTTTTATTATTTAGCTAAAAACTTATTATAAACTGTATTTCTGTGCCAGCATTAAACACACTTGTGTTGAAAGCCTCGCATATTAGTGAATGTGTGTTTGGTGCCTTTCCACCCTTCATACTTGATTGCAAAATGTGGTAAGAGGATTTGAGAAAATCCGCTTTTTCATTAGTTTGTTGTCCCTTGGAATGCTGGATTTTAGGGCAAAAGGGACACTTTACATCTTTTTATGGGATCTAAATCCATTCAAGCTTTACATATGTTTTAATATCTATATTTGGAAACAAAACATAATTTTGATCCCAGGACACACCCTAAGTACTGCTGGGAAACCGCCCACTGGGTGCACAGATGCAGCATGGAGTGCTATAACTGGGACGCATGGAGAAAGCCAGTCAGACAGGTGGTCCGTGAGGTCCAGATGGACATTCTTGGATAACATTTTTATTCTAAAAGATTTTAAACCAAATTTTTTGCCTTGTTATTTGAAAGAGTCATCATTGAGGTGAGTGTAAATTTCGTTTGGATAGTTTTTAATATAGTAGGAACCATTATTTCTTTTTTCAGTGAACAGATCCATCTGTTCTAACTTGACAAAGCAACAGATCACTAAGTTTAAATAATTCTCCAAAATCCAAGCAAGCATATGTACCTTTAAAAAGGGAAAAAATAAATTTCAGCATTCATGTTAATAATTTCAGTTTCAATCTGGAAAGCTGAGTTGCATTCAACCCTGGGCTTAATGCAACATATTTGATCTTATGGCAGAGAAAAATACACATTCCCTGCTTGAACTTTTCATAACACCCATGCAAAATCATGTTAACATTCATTAGGAATAAATAAAGGGGCGTTGTCATCATTTGCCATCTGCATCCATTCTGCTGAAGCAATTAGCCCCATAACCACATTATTTAAGCATGAAGTCATTAACACAAAGAGCCACTGTCATAATGTGATTGCTTCTCCGATTCACGTGTTTAACGTCACACTTTAATAGTGTTACATGGGAAAAAATAGATATTTTAATCATTGTTCTAAAAAAATTCTAGAAAATTTAAATAAATGTGTGCTGAAGCTGAGTGGATCAACAGTGCCCTGCTGAGTGATTAAAGAGAGCAGATGATGAAGCCATGGGAGTGTCACACATGTATAATTCACCTGAGACCAAATGCATTCTGTTCTTACATCACAATCTGCCTTTCATGGAGCTGAAACAAGTAAACAAACTGATATTTCTTCAGAGTGAGAGTTTAATCAGAAATCCTTTAGCTAGAATTAAGACCGTCGAGCATTTGAAGAGCAAGTCACCCCCTACCAGATTATTACTCAACTCCCACTTTCTGGTGGAAAAATGCAACAAATGCTGTTGCCTAGAAGACCAAGGGTGCGGAGCTGCTAACAAATACACACACACACACACACACACACACACACACACACACACACACACACACACACACACACACACACACACACACACACACACACACACACACACACACACACACACACACACAGGCTCACAATGACATTGTGACATCATATGGTACCAGCTAATGGTCTAGGGTACCTCTTAGCCAATGGCAATGGCAGATTTAAATTCAAATGCAGTGCAGAGTTTTTACCTGACAACAGCAGAACACTGACAAGTTTTAGGCAAAAAATTTAAATTTTAACTAAAATCCACTAAAGTGCAAAACTATTGACTACAGGTGTCTGCAGCACGATTAGACACGCATTTATGTAGTTTATAGGAAAAAATAAAGTTTATTTGGGGTGACTTGCTCTTTAAGCACTATTCTTTTACAGTTTTTTTCTGTTTCATGCCATGCACCATGACAAAAATCATGAAAATTATTCATCGGAACATATCGAGAACTGTGTGTCATGACTTTTCATATCAGTGCTGTACAACATGGACAAAATGAACAAAAACTGTGGAGAAATTTAAACCCCAGTCTTCACAAAGAAATGTCATTGAAGTTGAAACAGTGTTTGCCTTTTACATAAGTGAACTGGCATTTTGAAATTATTTAAAGTTTTATGATTTTTTAAAAAGATTTATCCACAAAGAGTTTGAATAACACTGATGGATTAAAAAAACCACAAGTGTGTGGTGACTTTACTAAGCCACTGGTGGTTACTATAGGCCCTCTGGAACTACTGGGTAATTTTACCGGACCTTCACGGTTTGCACGCATCTCCGTTTCTCTGACCTGGCCCGACAGGACCACTTTCTTGGCCCTTTCAGGACACAAACACATGATCTGGAGTATATACCTGCAAATCCCCTGGTAGAGACACATGGCGGGACTTCAATTCAATTCAATTGAATTCAATTAATTTCAATTCAAAAATACTTTATCAATCCCAGAGGGAAATTGATTGCTGTAGTAGCTCAGAATAATAATAATAATCAAGTCATCAAAGAGTTATTGTATATTACAATGGCTGTTGGCAGGAAGGATCTCCAGTAGCGGTCAGTGTTGCAGCCAAACTGAAGAAGCCTCTGACTGAAGACACTTCCGTTGTCGGACAGTCTTGTGAAGAGAATGCTCAGGGTTGTCCATCATTTTCTTGATTCTCTAGAGAATCCTTCTCGGCATTATCTCCTCCAGTGATTCCACAGTCGTCCCCAGAACAGAACCAGCCTTTGTTATTAGGCTGTTGAGCCTTTTCAGGTCCCTGCTTCTGATGCTGACCAGCACCTGATTTATCATTGCCCATTATGATCGATGGAAGAGATGGTTTGAATTTCCGCTTTCTCTGTCTCCATTTTGCTCCCGCTCTGCATCCACGCTTCTTGCGTTTTAGCTCATTTGGGATTTGTGGCTTCAGTTGAGGTATTATTTCAACCTTTCCTATGTTAATCAGCTGCTCCCAATTGTAAACCAGCTTGTTACCATGGTTGCGCATCATAACAAATGTTCAAAAAGTGAAAAAATTGCAGTAAAAATCCTCTCAGCTTCACAGCACCAGAAACCGAAAAGTAAAATGTCAATAAAATACAGTTTTCTTGAGAAACTAGAAGAAAAAGTGTCCAAAAAAGGCAAAACTTACATATAGTCAACAGAGCTACTCCAACATGCAGCCACCCAGAGCAGTGCAGTTCCAGACTTGTGGTTAACTCATGCTGATTGGTTGTAACTCAGCAGCAAATGGGAAATCGGCAGACATCGCCAACAATTGGTTCTTGCAAAATTGGAAGAGCTGCTTGTGAAGTGGAATGGAAGAGAAAAAAAAAAGCTAGTAGCATTCACACTGCTTTGAATCACTGTTACTAAACTCCCAATGGTGAAAATATGACGGAAATCCTCCACAATGTCATAATTCCTGATGCGTTGTGGTCTCAAACACAGCACTGTTAAAAATTACGCTTCTTTTGGTCACTGAACATCACACACAGCCGCTCTCCCTGTCCCTTGAATGGATTAACTTACAGTGTACTTTAACAGAATAAAACATTTAATGTTATTAATGTTCAAAGACCTCCAGAGAAGCTGGCCCAAGTGGCTTGGGAGAGGCAAGTCCGGGCCTTTTTGGCTACTGCCCCTGCAATCCGACCCCAGATAAAAGAAGGAAAATGGGTGGATTGATGGATGGGCAGAATGTCGGGAGACATCTGTTGTCACTGATCAGTGACGTCATTCATTGCAGAAATGATGCAAATTTGCTGATGTCTTAGCAAATTCCTAAAACGGTTGATTTTGTATGGAGACAACAACTTCAAGGACCAAGCCATGGGATTTTCACACATCTTCCCTCACCACAAATTTCTCTGAACTCCAATAGTGGAAACACATCTCACGATGGCCCAAACATACTGACAGGGAGAACTTTTAGCATTTTTTGTCCATCCCAGTAAATGAATCCCATAACTTTGACATGCTTATCTGTGTTTAGATGGAGCCATAAAAGGAAAACCACAGTGCCGATGGGACCTGAAGACAAACCACTGAGATCACCTGCTCAGAGGGCTGGTGATCTGTTCCAAGCTAAGTCTTCCTCTTGCCTTTCTTTGATTGAGGAAATTTTTCTAGAAGCTGTGGAATATGGTGATACCTCCAAGGTGAGGCAGATGCTAGAGGAGCTTCCTCACCTCAACATCAACTGTGTAAACTACATGGACCAGAATGCACTGCAGCTGGCAGTTATTAACGAGCATCTAGAGGTTTGCAAACTTCTACTTGAGAAGAAGGAGGTTGCTAGAATAGGGGATGCTTTGTTGTTGGCCATATGTAAAGGTAACATCTGGATGGTGGAGGTCATAATAAGCCACAAAGCATTTGCAGATAATCAGCGGCTGGTTAAAAGCTTCAGGCAAACAGAGATGGAAGACGATTTATTTTCTAATGATGGAGGTCGCTCTCGCTTCTTCCGTGACATTACTCCTATCATCCTGGCATCTCAATGCCTTGAGTATGAAATACTGCATGTACTTCTTATGAGGGGGGCCCGTATCGAGTGGCCCCACGACTACTTTTGTCAGTGCAGGACCTGTAGTGACCAGCAAAGCTGTGACTCTTTTAGCCACTCACAATCCCGCATCAGTGCATATAAAGGTCTAGCCAGTCCAGCGTACCTCTGCCTTTCAAGTCAAGACCCAGTGATGGCAGCTCTAGAGCTGAGCAACGAGCTCGCTGTTCTGGCCAACACGGAGAAGGAGTTCAAAGTGGGTTGGATTAAAAAGCTCTTTATACATCATTATGCATCTCGTTTGGGACTGATTTTTGTGTTGCCTCTCTGTGTGACAGAATGATTATAAGAAACTCTCCATGCAGTGTAAAGACTTTGTGGTGGGACTCCTGGATTTGTGCAGAAACACAGAGGAGGTAGAGGCCATCCTTAATGGTGACACTGACTCTGAAATCTCTGGAAGACCAAATCTCATCAGGTTAAAAATGGCAATAAAATATGAAGTTAAAAAGGTAAGCATGTGCACTCTGATGCAGATCTTGTTGTCTCTGTCTTTTTAAAATTCAGTTCAGTTTCTTTAGCGTGTCAGCTGACCAAAGTGCTGGACAATGAAATAAATTGTAGCTGTCTATTGTCACTTAACAAGCTGAAACTACTTATGAATATGCCCTACCCCTTGATGAGTCATTGAAGTCGTTAGATCCTATTTTATGGGAGACAGAAAATTACGTCAATAATACGTCTATTATGTCAAATGGGAAAGAGCTACATTAAACAGAGGAGGAGGCATCAGGTTTCACCTTTCCAGCACCTATGCAGCTCTAAACCTAATTCCAAAACAGTTTCAGTCTAGGTCACACCCTCCTACATCTAATCAAAACAACCATACAAGTCCTCAGGGGGTAGGGAAGAGGGGTATTCATAGGTAGTTTCCGTTCGTTAAGCAATAAACAGCTACAATTTATAATCTCGACTCTCCATATTCCAGTCAGAATTTACAAAGCTCCTCAGATGAGAAGCGAAACATCTTCAATAAACCAAAGCAGTTCAGTCGCCTTTATTCAAACCTCTTTGGATCACCATGACCTGGATGACTTGGAACAGAAAGAAAGAAAGAAAGAAAGAAAGAAAGAAAGATTATATTTTATATAGCACCTCTCAAGATAAAAATCATGAGGCATTTCACAAAAACAAAAAAATTTAAGTATAAAAAAACTGATTGAAATTATCTTTAAGATGAGAAAAAAAAGTTAATTAAAAAAAGTAAGGGAAGGGAGAGAGAAAATGAATAGGCAAGAGGGAAATGGTAGATCCCAGGAAAGGCGGAACAAGAGCAGAATAAAGGAAGGGTGATGACGAAGGTCACGCAAAAACCAGCTTGAACAAGTGAGTCTTCAGCTGCTTGATAAAGGAGACCACTGAGTCCACTGATCTCAGGCTCAGGGGGAGAGAGGTCCAGAGTCTGGGGGACACAGCAGCAAATGATCTGTCACCTTTGGTCTTTAGCCTGGTGCTGCACAACCAGTAGGCTTTGATCACTGGACCTCAGGGACCTGCTGGGGGTGTAAGGACTGAGAAGATCACCAATGTAAGATGGTGCTTGTCCATGTAAGGCCCTATAGACCAGAACCAGGATCTTGAAATGAACCCTGAAGTTGACTGGCAGCCAGTGAAGCTAGAGGGTGATGTGGGTGTGTTTGGAGGACTTGGTCAGAAGCCGAGCACAGGCGTTCTGAACCACCTGTAGACGGTTCAGGGAGGTTCTGCTCAGACACGTGAAAAGAGAGTTACAGTAGTCTGAGGAGATGAAGGTGTGGAGAATAGTCTCAAGATTAGAGCGGGACAGAGTGGGACTCAGTTTAGCAATGTTCCTGAGATGGAAGAAGGAAGAGAAAACAAGAGAACTGACATGAGAATCCAGGGTGAGAGCTGGGTCAAAGGTCACACCAAGGTTCCTGACAGGATTTGCACTGTATCTCAATTCAGGGTCTGCATCCTTCGAAGGACCCAGCCTACTTGGCCGACGTGGGCTGGGTCCTCCGTCGGCCAAGTAGACCGGATGTTAACGGCTGTGAATTTGGACAGGCCTAGCCTTCATGAATTCCCACCACTCCCTCGGCGAACGCTCCGTCGCCTAGCAACCGTGGAACCGCTGAGCAGAAGGGAGAAGGAACTTTAAACGATGGAGCTTAAAGTTTTATTTAGCTTTATAATCATTTCCTTGACTGTTGGAGAGCTAATTCATAGAAAATACTTTCGACAAGCTGAGCCTGAGCAAAGATGTGATAATAGTTTTTAATACTTTCTAAGGGTCTTAATTTGACCAAAACCGAAGACACAGCGGATACCCTGTAATATTAAACAATTCACATTTGTAAACAAAAATAAAATTCAAGAGTTTAATACAGAACTGATTTTATTTAGATATTTCTTTTATATGTACATGTTTAATCTTTCTTAACCATTTTTTCTAGCAAGCCTGTCAAAATTCTCCCTTCTCTCCTTTGCCCTCTGCTGCTCTGCCTCCCTCTGCAGCCTCACGTCCTCCCTGATCAGCTCCAGAAGCTGGTCATCGCTGTCACCTTCCCCTGGATGCCCATTTTCTCCAGAACAGTCCTAACAAACATGTAAGAAAAAAAACAGGAAGAGAAAAGATAGAGAAAAGAGGACAACGGGTTATTCCTTTCATGTTTTCGCAGAAAAAACAAAACTCAAACGACAGTTTTTAAAAATATGAGATGTTGTTGTACCTCCATGCCACAGCCGCCTGTCATGTTCTGCGGGTGGAGGTGGCAGACCATGTGTGGTGGTGGGTTCCGGAGGCAGATGAGCAGGCAGACGGATGTAAAAAATAAAAAGCTGTTTATTGAAGGACGGGAGCACAGGACGAACGAACATGCACAACGACAATGAACCGACAAAGACAACAACCAGGAGGGAGGTATAAATACACAAGGGAATCAGGAACACATGGGCAGAGTAATCAGGGACAGGTGAGAACAATTAGGCTAATCAGGGCAGGAGAGACACATTCAGGGAGGCTGGGGCGGATCATGACAGTACCCCCCCCTCAAGGGGCGGATACCAGACGCCCACAAGCCACAAAACACAGGAGACACGAACGAAGACCAGACCAGGGCACACATGACAAGGGAACACAGAAGACGAGACCAGGGAACAAGGAACACCATCCAGGCTGCGGAGCAGGGGCCTCTTGGTTCAGGCGGCACTCCGTCTTACGACCAATCAGACGTGTCCAAGAACTCAGTCCAGGGAAACTCGGACTCGTAGACTTGGGCACAGGGGACACGTAGACTTGGGCACAGGGGACACGTAGACTTGGACGTGGGCACGTAGACTTGGACGTGGGCACGTAGAGTGGGCATGTAGACTTGACTGGACTGGGCACGTAGACTTGACTGGACACGATGACTTGACTGGACACGATGACTTGACTGGACACGATGACTTGACTGGACACGATGACTTGACTGGACACGATGACTTGACACGATGACTTGACACGATGACTTGACTGGACACGATGACTTGACACGATGACTTGACTGGACACGAACACTTGACACGATGACTTGACTGGACACGATGACTTGACACGAACACTTGACTGGACACGAACACTTGACTCCAGGAACACAGGACACCAGGAACACAGAGACGAACTGCAGCAGCAGGCGTGGGACCCAGCAGGAACTGCAGCAGCAGGCATAGGCCCCAGCAGGAACTGCTGCGTGGAGAACCTGCAGGCACAGAACCTGCAGGCGTGGACCAGGAAGTGGTTGAGTAGCGGGAGCGACGCGTGGAAGCCCAGCTCGGCGGCAGGTACTCGACATCCCAATCAGAGCAGGTGCACATCCTATCTGCTGGGTCCATCAGCGGAGGCTCGGGTGAAGGGAAGCCGGAGAAGAGCGGGGAGACCAGCCCTACCACACCGGAGAATAATGGCGTGCGTAGGGGGTGTAATTCCCTTGAGGCTCCAGGATCCGCGGCTTCAGGAGAAGAACGGGACGGGGCAAAAAACAGCTGGAGGAGAACGACCCTGGCCACCCCGAAGATAAATAGGATGCGCCAGGATCTCCCAGAGGAACTTCGACCACCCCGAGAACAGGTAGGATGCGCCGAACACAAACTCCAGGCCAGAAATCTCCCACAACTGAAAGGGACAAAAAAGAAAAAAATAATCCTCCAGGAACAGATGTGTTAGCTCACCACAGGTCCAGGTTTGGTCGGTTCATTCTGTCATGTTCTGCGGGTGGAGGTGGCAGACCATGTGTGGTGGTGGGTTCCGGAGGCAGATGAGCAGGCAGACGGATGTAAAAAATAAAAAGCTGTTTATTGAAGGACGGGAGCACAGGACGAACGAACATGCACAACGACAATGAACCGACAAAGACAACAACCAGGAGGGAGGTATAAATACACAAGGGAATCAGGAACACATGGGCAGAGTAATCAGGGACAGGTGAGAACAATTAGGCTAATCAGGGCAGGAGAGACACATTCAGGGAGGCTGGGGCGGATCATGACACCGCCGAGTACTTCGCTCCAGTGATCATGTGGTCCGTCTCCACCCTAAGCTTAATAAAGTCTGTGGTTTTCTCTTTTGTCTCTAAAATACAAACTTCTATTAAAATCAGGGGGAAAACGTAGCGGGAGAAGTACGACACCGAGCGGCCGAACATACGAGCCGAGACCGCAATACAAGCACTTTTACTGTAACATTTCAAACTAAAATAATGTTCATGTATCACAAAAAGCCCTTAACCTAACAGTTTTCAAGTTTATACTTACATTTAAATGCGCAATCCTCTCCGACAGCTCCCGGTTCACTGTCCGCCGTTGTTTTTAAAAGTTCTGCCGTCCGGCCCTCAAGGCATCTTGGGAAATGTAAACCACTGAAGGATACACCGAACCCATCCTTCATACAGGCGAAAAGAAGGCCGGATTCGTCGACCGCATTTGAAGGAGTCTTCGATTTGGGACAGGCCTAGTCGCAGCGCTGTGACGTAACCGGCCGACGAATCCGGCCGACAAAGGATGCAGACCCTGAATTGAGACACAGCTCTGGTGTGACAAGCAAGCTGACCAAGACAGTGTCTGACTTTGAGAACCAGCTTGTCTGGGGCACAGATGAGGATCTCAGTCTTATCTTCATTCAGCTGAAGAAAGTTCCCAGCCATTCTTGTTTTACTGGATTCTAAGCAGGTGTGTAACAGCTGCAGCTTCGACATCTCATGGGGCTTGAAGGAGATGTACAGTTGGATGTCATCTGTGTGAAGATGGTAGGAAACTCATTTAAAAGAGCTCAGGATGTGCTGAAGATGAAGCAGATAGAGGAGGAAGAGCAGAGGCCCCAGCACAGAACCTTGTGGGACACCATGGGTAAGGGAGGTGGTGGAGGACCTAAACTTGGAGATAGCCACAAAGAAGGATCACTCAGGAAAATATGAGGAGAACCAACCCAGAGCAGATCCTGATAGGCCTACCCAGTCTCTCAGTCTCTCCAGTAGCAGGTGATGGTCAACAGTGTCAAAGGCTGCAGTCAGGTCCAGCAGGACCAGAACAGAACGGTCCCCTGCATCACTGTGACTCAGAAGGTCATTAGAGACCCTAAGAAGAGCTGTTTCAGTAGAATGAGCTCTACGAAAACCTGACTGGAAGCTATCGTAGATGTTATGTTCATCAAGAGCAGCTGTGAGTTGTTTAGCCACAACCTTTTCCAAGTTCTTGGAGATGAACGGAAGTTTAGAAATGGGTCTGAAGCTGTTATGGAGAGAAGGGTCAGGACTCGGTTTTTTAAGAAGCGGGTGGATTACAGCGTTCTTAAAATAAGCAGGGACCTGACCAGAAACCAGAGAACCATTAATTATAGAGAGCACTCTAGGACCGATGGACTGAAAAGCATTTTTAAACAAAGATGAGGGTAAGATATCGAGGGGACATGCAGAGGTCTTCATAGAGTTAACTAGTTTGGTTAACTCAGGCAAAGAAACAGGAGCAAAGCTATCTAGGATGATGAGCCTGGTTGGAGTCGGGAGAGGCAGCGATAAAGCTGAAGGAGAGATGCTAGATCTAACCTTATTGACTTTGTCCACAAAGAAAGACAGAAAGTTTTTGCAGTCAGCATCAGAGTGGATGGAGGCTGTAGGAGAGGCAGGAGAGACGATGCTGCTGATGGTGTTAAACAGCATCTTGGAATTCCCTTTGCTCTGGGATACCAGGTCGGAGAAATAGGCAATCCTTGCATCTCCGACTGCAGAGTTAAAGGATGTCAGAAGATCCTTTAGATGCAGCAGATGGACGTTGAGATGGGTTTTCTTCCATAAGTGCCAGCATACAGCCTAGCACTGTTCCTTTGACCTCTACCACATGTTCAAGCCTTTCTAAGAATATTGTGATCGACAATGTCAAAAGCAGCACTGAGATCCAACAAGACCAGAACGTACGCGAGATCCTTGTCATAAGAATATCATTTGTAACTCACTAATGCAGTTTCTGTGCTACTGTCTAAAACCTGACTGAAGTTCCTCCAACAGATCATTGGTGTTTAGAGATGCTCCTCCCATACTCGATTAGCCACTCTTTTCTCAAGGACTTTAGAATGGAAGATTATAAAGTGGTCCATAATTCACTTGGTCATTTATTTGAGTAGAGGTTTAATTACAACAACCTTAAAATTCCTTTGGTACGTATCTATTTATCAAGAACAGACAGTTCCTAAATGGGCAGTAACCAAAAGGGATGCTTATTTAAATAATTTGGTTGGGATTGGGACTAACAGAGTTGAAGGTTTAGATGAATACAATATTTTTCCCTCTCAATATCCAACCACTAAACAGTGTTATCTCTCTTGGTTGAGTTTGTGGCACATCCGAATTGCCAACAGCAGCTCCGCTCCATCTGGTACGAGAACTTATCTGGACTACATCAGCAAACCTTAGCAGTAAAAATTCTTCTCACCCTTGGTGTGGCTGTCGGCTTGCCTTTCCTGTCCTTTATTTGCTGGATTGCTCCATCAAGTAAGGTTAGTCACAAAAATGTGAATTTCTGAGTAAAGGAAAATATTTGATTATTTAACATTAACCCAAACTTTTATATTCTGCAAATAAACAATATGTGATGTTTTCATAAAAGGCAACATTCCTCATACGAATGTTTTCACCTTTGGTCACTTACTAAATCTTCAATTACTTCAAAATATCAGAGGATCCATCATCTTTTAGATAATTTATTTTCATCATTCTGTCATTTCAGCCAGCAAAACTTATGAGGGGACCCTTCCTTAAGTTTGTGACTCACGCAGCTTCCTTCATGATATTTCTTTGTCTACTGGTCCTGAATGCAGCAGACCGCTTTGCAGGAACGTCGCTGCTGCCTAACATGACCACCCATGACTACCCCTCACAGCTTTTCAGAATAAAGACCACAACCTTCACCTGGATGGAAATTCTCATTATTTCTTGGGTCATTGGTCAGTAGGGTACACTTACACTTCCCTTGAGCAAAAAGTACTTTTTCAACAACAATAAAAAAAAAACATGAAACCATAAAAACATGATTTTTATTTTGCTTTCCAACAGGTAAAATATGGGAAGAATGTAAAACAATCTGGTCACAAGACTTAGAAGAATATGTCTCAGATCCCTGGAAACTTCTTGATTTTAGTATTTTGGCCATTTTTATGGCTTCCTTCATTGCCAGATGGATGGCGTTCTGGCACGCATGTTCAGCACAGAGATACATGGATGAGCACTATGATGACCTGATCAACGTGACGCTGCCCTTTGAGATACGATATTTCCAGTTGGGTTAGTGAGAATGAAATAATTCCTTAAATTTGCGATTCAAGAAATTGTTTATTGTGATTTGTAAAAGTATTAAACCAGTTCGCCTCTAATACGTTTAATTCAGTGTTTTTTTAATTTAATTTCCTTATTTCAGTGAAACAACATAAAGCTGAAATGTAAATTATTGATAAAATACAAAGAAAACAAAAATCAATAAGTTGGAACGTGGATGTCATTTGGGGGGTGCACGGGGGACAGGCCCCGCAACTTTTTCATCAGTCAGCTTAGATCTAGTCACAATCTCTACTTATTTATGCTGAATTGAGGTAGAACTTTATGTAAATTAGGTATACTGAAAAACATTCCAAAACCTAGTGTTACATTTAGATCCTTGGGGCAGCGCCAGGACAGTTTCTTTGCTTCTTCTTGCTTTACTCTAATTTTGCGTACGCAAGGCTAGACGCTAATGTTGAGCTAACAATGCTAACGGTAAATTAAAAGCAAATAGGCTGCTCTAAAAACATCTCAACCTATTTTTACATTTACCAACAACTCATTATTACAGTGAAATGTATTTATCTGCTTAAACTTACTGTGTCTCGTCTTGGCTTGTCATCTAGAATTGTTTGGAGCTGTGAGCCGTAGCTAGCAACAACCATCACACTCATGGAATGATAAAGTCCCCCGTGTGTTAAAAAATGTGCTGCACCAAATTTTACCACAAGATGTAATTCTTACTTAATTCTTGCATAATGCACATTTAAACCAGGTGAAAGAAAAGTGAATAACTTTTGTATTATCTCGCATATTTTTAGCTACTGCACTTACATTTTCTCTATCCAAACTAAAACAGATGCAGTAAAAAAATAATAAAATACAAGCTTGACTTTGCCATCCTCACACTTCTCCTGTCTGTTTTTATAGCAAGAATTCACTGGATGCCATCGGACCCGCAGCTGATCTCTGAAGGCCTGTATGCAATCGCTGTCGTTTTGAGTTTTTCTCGCATCACTTGCATCCTGCCGGCCAACGAGAGGTTTGGGCCGTTGCAGATATCTCTGGGGAGAACAGTGAAGGACATTTTTAAATTCATGGTGATCTTCATTACTGTTTTTGTGGCGTTCATGGTGGGAATGTTCAACCTGTACTCGTATTACCTTGGGGCCAAACACAATGTGGCTTTTACAACGTAAGTGCTGATCGTAAGCTGCTCAAAATGTACAATACAGTCTAGGTCAATAGTGTGCAACCTTTTTCATCCAAAGAGCCATTTTCAATCAGTCCACTGGAATACTATTTGTTTAGAGCTGCAACTTTTACTTAAACTTTTAAAAAAACTTTAAACTTAAAAAAAATACAGTTTATAATTTTGAGCTAAGGATTTTTTCCCTTTTTTCACATAATCCTAGGAATAACATGAAGATTCTGAGATCAAAGTCGGAAATAATGTTTTCCCTCTTCCATAAATATCTGCCATATATATATATATATATGTATATATATATATATATATATATATATATATATATATATATATATATATATATATATATATAAGTTGCAATTACATTTTTCACCTCTAGATGGTGTCCTCTGAGTGAAAAATTTAAACTTTAGCAAACGCATGACATTTCTTTTCCCCATGTGATGTTGACGTTTATGTAAAATTATGTAGAAAAAAAGGTCTAGGTCACACCCTCCTGCAACTAATCAAAACAACCATTTATGGTATTTTTAGTATCATGCATTTATGGAAATTTAATGAAATTGTTCCATCAAAAATCTGACATGCTGCTTGATCCTCAACTTGCATTATATCTACATTTGTAAACTTGAATTCGTTTTATTATCTTATGGCCAAAAATATTCAGAGCCATTGGCAAAAACCAATAAAGCCACCTTTGGCCCCAGAACCTGAACTCTGAAACCTACCTAGATGATGCAAGACTGAGGCGTCTGTTTACTATTTTGTTTGTCATTTTTTCTGTTCTGCCAGGGTTGAAGAAAGTTTCAAAACATTATTCTGGGCCATCTTTGGATTGTCAGAAGTAAAATCAGTAGTCATCAACATCAACCACAAGTTCATCGAGAACATAGGTTATGTTCTGTATGGGGTGTACAACGTCATCATGGTGATTGTGCTGCTGAATATGCTCATAGCAATGTTTAACAGCTCCTTTCAGGAAATTCAGGTACACTAAACCAGCACTTTTTTTTATTATTATTTTCATGCCATCTATAAAAAACATCAATATTTACCAAATTCTTCCCATCTCTAACCTGGTTCTTATCTGATGCTGCAGGATGATGCTGATGTTGAGTGGAAATTTGCCAGAGCCAAGCTGTGGTTCTCCTACTTTGAGAACAGTGGGACCCTACCCGTGCCCTTTAACCTCATACCCAGTCCTAAATCTGTTGTTTCCGTCTTGTTGGCAATAAAGAAAATTATCTGGATTGTGTTTTTGAAAAAGAGTGGAGAAAACTCGAATGATGAGGCGGAGCTTAACAATGTGAGACATCTGCAAAATATATTCTGCATAATATTTTTCTGACTGGTTACATTAATCTTTCAATTTTTTTTCTTCATTTTATTAAATATTTAGTTACAAACATGTGAAGGACAGAAGAAATTCGCTCTTAAACCTGCTCACCATCAGGTAAACTGTCCTGTTTAACTCCAAATAATCTCTCCTAAGAAAAGCTTTGCACGTATGAGCAGTGGCGCTTACAGAACATTGTCATCGGCGGACCAGTGGAAATTTTGGAGTGGCACACCGAATTGGGCCGTTTGGTAAATCTGGGGGGGGTTGGCCTGTAGCTGTGGATTGCATTGCTCTTTCATTCATTTTCATTATAAAATCAAAAGGCCTGTGCATTCAACATATTTTTCCCAAATTTTCAAAATGGGAATATTTCAGAAAAAAGATACAATGTTTTTATTATTTCAAGTTGTATTGTTTTAAAACTTTTAAACATTTTAATTGTCCTGTTGCTGTTTCAAAAACATATCCACAAAAACTGTTGATATATATATATACTCAACAAAAATATAAATGCAGCACCTTTGGATCTGCTCCGATTTTTCATGAGATGGACTTAAAATCTAAAATTCATTCCAGGTACACAAATTACCATTTCTCTATAAAACTGTTCACAAATCAGTCTAAATGTGTGCTAGTGAGCACTTCTGTTTTGCTGAGATAATCCATCCCACCTCACAGGTGTATCACATCAAGTTGCTGATCTGACATCATGAGTAGTGCACAGGTGTACCTTATACTGCCCACAATAAAATGCCACCCTGGAATGTGCAGTTTTGTCTCACAGCAAAATGCCACAGATGCCACAAGCTTTGAGGGAGTGTGCAATTGGCATGCTGACAGCAGGCATGTCAACCAGATCTGTTGCTTGTGCATTGAACGTTCATTTCTCCAACATAAGCCGTCTTCAAAGGCGTTTCAGAGTATATGGCAGTACATCCAACTGGCCTCACAACCGCAGACGACGTGTAACCACACCAGCCCAGGACCTCCACATCCAGCAGGTTCACCTCCAAGATCGTCTGAGACCAGCCACTCAGACAGCTGCTGAAACAATTGGTTTGCATAACCAAATAATTTCTGCACAAACTGTCAGAAACCGTCTCAGGGAAGCTCAACTGCATGCTCGTCGTGCTCATTGGGGTCTTGACCTGACTCCAGCTCATCGCCGTAACAGACCTGAGTGGGCAAATACTCACATTCGATGGCGTCTGGCACGTTGGAGAGGTGTTCTCTTCACAGATGAATCTCGGTTTACATTGTTCATGGCAGATGGCAGACAGTGTGTGTGGCGTCATGTGGGTGAGCGCTTTGCCGATGTCAGTGTTGTGGATCGAGTGGCCCATGGTGGTGGTGGGGTTATGGTATAAGCAGGCATCTGTTATGGACGAAGAACACAGGTGCATTTTATTGATGGCATTGTGAATGCACAGAGATATCGTGATGAGATCCTGAGGCCCATTGTTGTGCCGTACATCCATGAACATCACCTCATGTTTCAGCAAGAAAATGCATGGCCTCATGTTGCAAGGATCTGTACACAATTCTTGGAAGCTGAAAATGTTCCAGTTCTTGCATGGCCAGCATACTCACCGAACATGTCACCCGTTGAGCATGTTCGGGATGTGCTTGACCGGCCTATACGACAGCGTGTACCAGTTCCCGCTAATATCCCACAACTTCGCACAGCCATTGAAGAGGAGTGGACCAACATTCCACTTGTCACAATTGACAATCTGATAAACTCTATGCAAAGAAGATGTGTTGCACTGCATGAGGCAAATGGTGGTCACACCAGATAATGACCAGTTCTGAGTCCCCAGACCCCCAATAAAGAAAAAAAACTGCACATTCCAGGGTGGCCTTTTATTGTGGGCAGTATGAGGTACACCTGTGCACTACTCATGATGTCAGATCAGCATCTTGATGTGGCACACCTGTGAGGTGGGATGGATTATTCAGCAAAGCACAGGTGCTCACTATCACACATTTAGACTGATTTGTGAACAATGTTTGAGACAAATGGTAATATTGTGTATCTGGAATGAATTTTAGATCTTTAAGTCCATCTCATGAAAAATCGGAGCAGAAACAAAAGTGTTGCGTTTATATTTTTGTTGAGTGTATGTATATATATATATATATATATATATATATATATATATATATATATATATATATATAAATTGTGATTTATGAAATACATTATTAAATTAACTTCATTGAAAAAAGTCTATTTATTGACTTTTCTTGATTAACAAAAATTAATGTTTGGTTTTTGTGAACATGAATGTGATATATTTCGGGGGTTGGGGAGGTGATCTTCCCTTGGGGGACGTTAACTGTTTTCAAGGGGATAAGCAATGGCCCCCACTAGCCACCTTTTGGGGCGCCACTGCATATGAAAAGAAAATGTTTGCATAATTGTAAATATTTAAGCTTAAGTTCCTGAAGTGCAAATAGAAGAAATAACCAATTTGCCTTTTAAAGCACAAATTACTCAAAAATATAATCAACAAAACAAGTTGTTTTTTACTTCAATATAAAATTTTTGACTCAAACCACTTTCTCTCAATACAGAAAGTGATAAACTCTCTCATAAAAAGGTACATAATAAAATCCCAGAGAGAGAAGGACAGAGATGGCATAAATGAAGGTACATTTTCTGGAATCAGTTGTTTATTTCTGAATCAGCAAATTACAGAAAAATAGAAGAACAAAGTATATCAGAATTTTTTTTCCAAACTTTCGTCTGTCCTACAGGAGAACTGAGGAAGATCAAACTGGACATCTCAAGTCTTCGTTGTGAGCTGCTGGAAAGAAAGAACTGTGATGTTAACACACTGATGGAGCTGGTTAGATGGTTGGAGGAAGTCATGGATGTTCAAGAGATGGATGGGTCAAACAAACACTCTTAAAACAGAAAAATAGACAACATTTAAAAAAATTTTATTTAAAAATTATTTGTCACGCATTCAATATTTTCACTAGGCTGAGGGTCTTTGTGTGATCAGATAAGGCCTCTGGTTGTCTCGTTTCCAGATCAAGCTTTGTTATTTCTTCCATTTTGAATTCCGATTACCACTTGGACACTGGCCAGGTCCTATAGTTGTTATGGGATTAATCTAACATGAAGAAAACGGGCAGACAAATTTTTTGCAGATAGTTTGGAGCAGCAAGACCTGGAACCGACAAGTTTTGCGTTCTGGTATCAAACTGGTTTTGGTGAGTCACAGAACTATTGGTTACACATGAAGAATATTTTTAGCCTTTTGTCAAGTGTGCATCTGTGGAAAAGTTAGACCCAACTTCCTGAATGTCCTGTGGTTGGAGAAATTAAGTTTAAACTTATAAAGGACTAGTCCAGTCATAACCAAGTGTTAAAATGGCTCCAATCACCTAATATTTATGGGGGCTTAAATTGAGTTTTATGGTTATTTACAAGCATAAAAATCCCTATCTGCATCAAAATTGAGAAAATGCAACAGTTCTGTAAACATTACAGTACATTATTACATTAAGTAATGCAAAGTTAAAGGTGCAGTATGTAAGAATATAGTGAGATATTTACAATGAGAAAATCCCAAAAGAGTCTAATGTTTCAGTCATTTCAGGATGAAGGTTGTTAGGAAAGTTAGCTTCAAAATCAAATAGTTCAAAGTTCAGTTCGTACATTTTGAAACAAACTAGTGAACGTTTTGGTAATGATTTAAAAAATTTAACTAAGTTCACCGTTCCAAAAACACCTATCTCCTGCATTAGCTTCTGATAGAAAATAGACAGTAAAACTCTAGGATCTGAAAATCCTGACAGATCTATGTCACACTGTCACTTAACGTTCATGAACTCACCAACCTTGACTCGTGATGGGGAGGGCTGTTGTTGGTTTACCATTCAGAAATCAGCAGACAACTTCCCCATTTGTAGAAGCTAACCATTAGCATTAGCAACACCAGCACACAGAAAAACTCCTCCAGGCTTATGTTATTAGTGGAGATAAAACATCCACGTTGCAAGTCAGTGGTAGATGTCCAAAAACCAGGAAATAAGACTCCACATCCTGCCGTGTTGTGCTGCTCTCTGCTGCAGCAGACTTGTCTGTGCTGATCCAAGTGTTTCTGGGCTTTTTTTGCCACTACACCTATCCTATCAGAGACAAATGCAAATATATTAAATAAATGAGTGAACCACACCTTTATTAAAGCAATGCATGTGACAAAAAAAGTCTCTAACAGAATAAACACAAGCACAGATCAAACTAATCCACCCCTTGCATAAATAAAAGTAAACTTTTATAAAGTGCCAGAAGTTGTGATTTCAAGACCGCTTTTTGTTGCCGTCAGCGACACGTACAGATAAGTCTCCAGAAGAAAACTGGGCCATTGGAGCATCTGAAGCACACATCACAGATATGAGTGTGCCAATGTTATCCAAGAATTATGTGAGAATCCTTTCTGATGTTTACTAAATCATGACGCAGGAGATAGGAGCAAGGACTGCATGTGCATCATGACTGCAAGCATCAGCCACATCCTGGACTGATTAACTTGAATAGTAAAACCTGTCCTGTCATCTAACCAGGATAACAGAAAAGTACATTAGATCAGTCAAATGATGTAAGAGGTGCCGTAGTAGAGTTTCCTTAAGAAAATCACACACAGAGGATGTTCATCTCAATGTCACAGTCTTGTATACGCTGTGTTACGCTGTAGTAACAACATTTGATTAGAAACTTTTGCTGTATGCAGCTTTGGATGGATGCAGCTGCAGGAAATAGAGGAGTGGGAAAAAAACCCAAACTGATTAAAAATGTTAGGTGTGTTTGTGTAATCCTTGCTTAAAGGAATATTTTGGCTCTTTTGAAGAAAAAAGATAACTAATTATGATCATACCTATTGTAGATATGCCTTCAGAAACAGCCTAATTTCAGAGACATAAGCTAAACATTACCAATGAGCTAACAGTTGGACAAAACCAGCAAAGATTACCTTGATTCATGCCGTTTTTACTCATTGCCGTTGATGTTGCATGGATTTTATTTGTGTGAAATTAAAATGATCAGTAGCAGCAAAAGATAAGACTTCTAGTCCATCCCACGGTTCAATCTAAAACTAGTCTATGTTGTCTTAAAACAACTCTGCCCTTCAAAGATTCACAGCGGTTCATTTGATTATTTTATTAACTTAGCTCTAACATTATCATAAACCATAACATCAACTACGATATCAGGATGATATGTTTTCCTTTAAACAGAAATGTCCTAATATTCTTGCCAGACTTGGTCATGGCTGCATTGTAAGTGCAACATTGCTGCTTTTTTATGCAAATAACAAAGTAAGGCTAAATCAATGGCAGGCTTTAAGCTGGCTGGAGGGTTGTCAGTTTTTCTTCTTTAAAAAAATAAAAGCAAGAACAAAAAACAAAACAAACAAAAAAAAAGCAACGTAGTTTCTGTTTACAATCTGAGAGTTTGTGAGGTTGCCATGTCTCACGCGAGCTAATGCTGCAGCACCAACATTTTTAATTCGACACTGGCAGGCAGAAACCTCCAGAGTTGTTTTAAAAATGGAAGCCAGTAAACAGGAGTGACCCAGAAGGTATTGCTTGTACCCCTAAGAAGCCACAACATCTTTTTTTATTTTCTAATATTGGGTGAAGCAAGCAAGAAGCTAACACTTAGCTAACAATATTGTTTGTCAGGATCTGCTCCTCCTGCCCCTGCTGTCTTGTTAAGTGTTAACTCATTCACTGCCAGCCGTTTCCTGATCGCTAACGGCCTTCGCTGACAGAGTTTCTCACCGTTTTTACTGTTTTTTAAGAGTCACAGAACATTGCGCGCTAAGATTATGTTGATGCCAAAACAACCAAAACAAAGAGGAGACTCACCTCTTACATCAGGAAGAATCCGTGTGTTTCAAGCGTTATCCGTTCTTGTTGAATTGTGATCGGCAGACGCTTTTCCGGTTTGCGCCTCACTTTTTTTACAGGGATGGCCCAAAACGATCTCCTAATACATGGATGGTCTGCTTCCTGGTCATGTGATGTGTGATGTATGCGGATGAAGATCGGCTTCAGGGCTGAGATGTTTGCTCTCTCAGCGCGGGGGCTCGTTCTGATGCTCAAACAGTAAAAAAATGCAAATGACGACTTTAGTCGTCATTGGCAGTGAACAGTTGGATCTAAAATGGCGACTTTAGTCGTCAATGGCAGTGAATGAGTAAATGTGTCTCACCTGCCCCTCATTACCTGTCTATCTGATTGCTTTTGTGTATTTAAGCCCTTTATTTATGCTCCTCTTGCCTTCCTGTCATGACATATACCTGCCATTATTCTAGTAAACTGTTCTTTTTGCCAGTCTGTATGCCTGTCCTCCTGGGTTTAGCTCTGAACCTAACCCCACTTCAGGACATTGTTTGTTTAGTAAAATAACTTTATTACACACTTTGAAAAACACACCAGGGCCCCTGGTCAATCATAAATAGAAGTCCATGGGTTCTAAAAAAAATTCCACTTTTGATGTTTAGTAACAGTTTTAATTATTTTCTTGACACTTCAACTTTAATATGAAATTTAAGTATTTCAGTCTAGTGTTGGTTGGAAATACATTTTTTTTCTCTTTGACACTCAACCACCCCCACCGTTTTATGTTAATTTCTGTAAAATGAGCCATTTTAGGGATTTTGTATTCAGTTTGTTGCAAGAAATACACTCAGTTGTTTTCACTCAGCGGATTCTGGGGCATATCTCTATATTAGTCCAGAATTATTTATTTATTTATTTGCAGCCGTGGATGAGCTCATGCAGGGCGGGGACAAAATGACCCCATGGCAGTGACACCCTCCTCCTCGGCTCTGCTGTGAGGGCAGCATTACTGTAACTTCATCCATAATCAGCAGATGGATTCAGCTTTCCATTTCCATGGTTTTGGGGGATTGAATTGCCAGTCGCAGTGAGGAGTAACAGAAGTCTGTCAAGAACAAATAAGATTAATTTAACTTTAAAACATGACACGGACAGCCACGGGAAGGACTTTGAGATTTAGTAAATCAGAGCGGGTTTTCTTCCGGATTGAGGGAATATTTGCGCTATAAAGTTTGCGTTATTTAAAAACCGGTTACTGGCAGTAATCCCTGTTCCATGTAAAAAGAGTCAACAGCTCGACAGGGAGGAGGATTACTGGAAGGTCTCCGAGTTGCAACTCCTCACACGCCTTTCAGCCTCCGGCGCTTCCAGGACACCTTTTTGCGCTTCCAGCTGCAGATGGAAAACATGGAGAACAAAAATAACGGGAAGATGAGCGCTGCCAGCACCACGTCCACTGCAGACTCCACCGATTCTAGAGTAAGTGAGCTGATTGAGGCGGGGTTCAGCAGGTCCGCTGCAAAGTTACCTGTAGAGTCGCGGTCCCTGGCGTGCATGACCTCCGCGCGTAATTTTGGGAACGCCGGTGCGCTGATCCAAGGTCTGAATCCAAGCGGGGATTACGCGCTTTACAAAGAGTGCAGCATCCTTGATGCTCCGCTTGCTGTAAAACCGTTTTACGAGCGCAACAGTGAATTTCTAAAGAATGATAATATTCCGTGGGAAGATTTTATAAAAGCTCAGAGGACGACCACCGTGGCCATACCCGGGAGTTTGAACCTGTCCTCCAACTCTGGAGCGTGCAAGTTCATCAAAGATGAAAAGGAGCCGTCAGTGATCATGGACACCCCCTGTCCGAGGTTTGACCCTCCACCTGAGATACCTGCCCTCGACACCTGCTGTGACGCGGAAAGCAAGCAGCACCTGGCGCTCGGAGAGGGAGAGTCCTCCAGCTTCTCCGCAGCCGCCGCGGCGCCTCGGGCGGACCTGCAGGGCTCCCCAAAGTTTCTCATCGATCTTAACCAGTCAGAGCAGCTCCTGAGTCCTGCGAGGTCCGACTCGAGGTGCGCGCAGAGCTCCAAGGCTGGCATCGCCCTCGATGGCAGCGCGCAGCCACCGGCGCAGCAAACAGTTTACAAGACTGAAGCTTCACGGTGGCAGATCCAAACCGCCCCGGGCGAGCCTCTGTTTTGGACGGCTGGAGAGGACACGTTCCCAGCTGGCAGCTACGATGGGATCCAGAACCAGACCCCAGCTCTCAGGAACCCATCACCCTTCCCCACATTCCCAGGGTAATAAAACAAGGTTCATTTAAGATTTAACACAAATTAAAATAACGATTCATGTTGTAAACTTTTATGAGGATGACATAAAAACGGGAAATGGTGTGTAAAAAGGTAAAAAAAAAGAAAAAGAGATAAATTCCTGATTTGTGGGTTTCTTGATTTAACAAAACTAAGGAAAAAATTGAATATTTCATCAGTTCTTTTCTCCCTTATGATTCTTTTTCTAGAATGCAACCTCAGAGGCAGTGTGTGATCTGTGGGGACGAGGCGTCTGGTTGCCACTATGGAGTTTTAACCTGTGGGAGCTGTAAGGTGTTTTTCAAAAGAGCAGTTGAAGGTGAGCAAAAATAAATAAATAATAAACAAATAAGTAATTTCCAGAGCAGATCATGATGTTGTTGACACAATAATAACTTAATAGTTGATAAGAGTTGGAAATTGAAAATACACAGTTAAATTTATGAGTGCGATGCTTTTAATTTGAAAATATCAAATGAAAACCCTCCAAATTTGTCAAGTTTTGTTTTATTGCTCTGGTTTTATGTATAAAAACATCACAACACAAAGAAGTTGTGCTAATATTTCAAATCAAGCTTAAGTGGCCCGAGAATCCCTGCAGCTTTACCATCTTTAACACAAATAAAGGGGAAAACATGAGAATTATAAAGCTGTCAATCACTGCTGTTTAACACCAGAAAACAGCACTACATTTAGTGAGTTCTTGACCTACTTTTACCCAGATAGCTGGGCAGTGCTGCTATCTTTTGAAGGCTATTGTGATTAGTTGTGAAGCTAGTTTAACCGGTATCTTGATACCCAGCAAGATGCAAGATGGTGGTAAGACATGAGGAACCTGCTGACGGTTCCCAAGAATCTGCACTGCAAAAACGTCTCACAAATGCTTTTATGACTTGGAGTTCATCTTTACAAAAGAAACAAAATCATCTCCCATCTCTTAAATGCACTCGTACCTCCCACTTCTCTTCGAGCTTTGGTTCAATCTTTCCTTTTTCCTTTACTTTTATGGACACCTCATTAAACGTCCTGCTAAACGACTAATTCGACTATTCTCATCAATCCTGTTTTTCTCAGTAATCTGACTTGTTTCCAACATGTGACTTAGAATATTGGTATGAAAACACACAGAGACACACACAAACCCTTTCTGACCTTCTTTGGTAGTTGTTAAAGGTTATTGGTAACAGTATCACATTGAACAGCGTACACTGTGTTCCTCATCTTGGACTTTTTTTATTTTTTTGTTATCTTGCAGAGTGAGATATAGTGAGAGCCACTATGTCTCACCACGGCCGTGTCACTCTGTCCTTACAGCCTTGCTTCTTCTAATTTACCTCTTTAGGTCTTTTAGCATGCCGCCTCGCTGTGGAGTGGAGAAGCCGCAGTAATAGTCAAGAGTCCCTCCACACTTTTCGGCCTATCATTTACCTCACTCTGGCCCTGTATATTTTGGGGGATATCAAGCGCTGTTAAAAAAAATTGCTTGCATTGTCTGTTACCCATTCACTCAACAGGGCATCACAGCTATCTCTGCGCTGGGCGAAATGACTGCATTGTGGACAAAATTCGGAGGAAAAACTGCCCGGCGTGTCGCCTGAGAAAGTGCTACCAAGCAGGAATGATGCTAGGAGGTACAATTTCTTTTAAAGCAGAGCTGCAGCCATGCTTTTGATTTGTTGCGCGGCACGAAATAATGCCAGTTAAAGGTGTGGTTCACTGAAAAAAACATTTTTTAATGGTTATTTCTGACATAATCGGTCACGCTGAGTTTTTCATACTGACTGAACATGAAAATAGTCTCCTACACCTATCTCCTGCATTAGCTTCTGATGGAAATTAGATGGTGTAACGCTAGGATTTGAAAAGCCTGACAGATTTACGTCACACTCAGTGCATTTACATGGCCTGTATTTTTACATGTGCATAAAAAAACTGAAGTATTATCCTAAAAAGACTCATGCTCTTTTTTTAAATGCATGTCTTGCTGAAGGTATACTAGTTCTAATCGTGCTGAAGCACCCAGAAAATGCAGTAGGAATCTGACTTAATTCTGCATGTAAACGCGTGAGCCGAACTAAACCGGTTGGATGCCTTTCAGATGTGAGAAGACTGTGGAGGCTGTCTTCTTATTATATCTTTGCCACAAATTAACACGTGTAACCATCAGACAAGAACCAAATAAGCTGTGCTGCAGCTTTGTTGTTGTCCATTCCTTCGACCATTGTACTTATTGTACTTATTCTGCTTTAACTTTGTCCGCTTCACTCCTGCCAGCGTTTGTTTATTGTTTGTGTTGCTATAAGCTAACCAAAAGAATGCCGACACAAAAGAGTGCATTTACCAACTGTACCTGCTGAGAGGTTGGTTTTCTAATGTGATTGTTACCTAGGATAAAGACTCCCAGCTTATTACCATAAGATCGACCTGGATCAACTTAGACATTGGTTCGTAAACGCGCTGACTTTCACTTAGCATTCATGGACTCGCCTCACGGCCGGGAGGGCTGTTGTTGGTTTAGCGTTCAGGAAACAGCAGAGAACGTCTTGACTAGTTGAAGCTAACCATTAGCATTAGCAACTCCACCACACAGCAGAACCTTCAGACTTGTCTAATTTGTGGAGATAAACCATCAATGTTGCAAAGGAAACAGAGTCGGTGGTTCGTGCTGCTGTTAGCCAATCAGCGGAGAGATGTCCAAATATCAGGAAATAAGAGTCGTCTGAAGCTCAGCTCTGATGATGCTCACTTCTATTTCCTGAAACAGGCGCACCAACGCTTTTTTCCCCAGAAGGCATACAAGACATACATTCCTACTTGAGACTACTGCTAACTCATTCATTAAACAAGTGAACCACATCTTTAAATCGTTTTTGACATCACATCAAATGATAAAAGCACTGGAGTCGAGCGCATGTAAAAACAATAAAAGAGATGGCCCCTTTAAATGTGTTTTATCATTTAAATTGTACATGCACTTTGCAAAGATTGAAAAACAAATAATAAAGCTTTGGCAAATCAAGCTCTGAATCAGATCTAACAAAGCTTTTATTTCACGTCACAGGCAGGAAGCTGAAGCGTTTTGGAGCCTTGAAAGCCTTGGGCTTGAACCCGTCCCTGATGTTCCAGCCCCATTTGGCCATGTCCAGCGACAATCAGGCCTTGACCTCCATGTCTTGTGTACCAAGCATCCATGAGCTGCAGCTCTCCCAGCAAATAATCAACATTCTGGAAAACATCGAGCCTGAGGTTGTGTACTCAGGCTACGACAACTCACAGCCCGAAGTGCCCCATCTTCTGCTGAACAGTCTCAACCGGCTGTGTGAGAAGCAGCTGCTGTGGATTGTAAAGTGGTCCAAGTCCCTGCCAGGTAACGATTCTCTGCATCTCGGGGTTGCCACATTTGTTGCCATGGGGATCTGCAGTAATGCCTTAGTTCAGGTCTCAGCCTTAAGTGATTCCTCTTAGCTGCACAGGAAGGTTAAATAAAGAAAATTGAAGAGCTAATCTCGAAATGGGGCAAAAAAAAATCTAAGATAAAAATCTCAGATTTTTTTTCTTTAAGGGTTTCGTAACCTTCACATCAATGATCAGATGACCCTGATCCAGTACTCCTGGATGAACCTGATGGTGTTCTCTCTCGGCTGGCGCTCTTTTCAGAATGTCACCAGTGAATATTTATACTTCGCTCCTGATCTGATTCTCAGTCAGTAAGTGAACATTGTTCCGTATATTATAGGAAAAAGTAAGTATTTTGTGTTAACCACAATTTTTTAATTTTGTTTTGCACATCAGGGAGCAAATGAGAAGATCTCCAATTTACGACCTCTGCCTGGCGATCCAGTTTATTCCTCAGGAGTTTGCAAACCTGCAAGTGACCCGTGAGGAATTTCTCTGCATGAAAGCCATAATCTTACTCAACACAGGTAAGTTTCACTTCTTTGGTTTTATTGCTTTTTTTTAATCAGGTACGTTCTTCGCACGGTGTAATGGAGAGAAATGTGAAGCTTTGAAGAGCATCGACTGCAGAGCTGAAGCGTGAAGGGAGTGTTGAGCAAAAATGTGGCAAAAGCTATCTCCGTTAGCAAAAAACAAAACAAAACAAAAAAAAAACATTCTTTTATTTGAAGTCTTGCAAATGGTCACATGTTTCTTTTAAATAAAGGACCGCTGACGGGAATCACGCGGAATGGCAACATGCTCTTTTATTTGCTTTGCAATCCGCACGTGGATGTTCCCTGGAGATTTACTGAAGTCCTGTATGTCCCATTTGCTTTCAGTGCCTCTCGAAGGACTCAAAAGTCAGGCTATATTCGAGGAAATGAGACAGAATTACATACGAGAGCTTTCCAGGGCCATCCACATGAAGGAGAAGGGCGTGATCGGCAGTTCGCAGCGATTCTACCACCTTACCAAGCTGATGGACGCCATGCACGATGTAAGCTCCTCTCATGGAGAACAACGGTAAATCAGCATCCATTTATGTGTCTTTAATGAGCAGAAAAACATTTGTTGTCATTCCAGATTGTGAAGAAGGTCAACCTGTTCTGCCTGAGCACCTTCATCCAGGCGGATGCTCTGAAGGTGGAGTTTCCAGAGATGATGTCAGAGGTCATTGCCTCCCAACTTCCTAAGGTGCTGGCAGGGATGGTGAAGCCCCTGTTGTTCCACACTAAGCAGTGAAGTCTGTAGCGACCGCCTGAGACCGGATCCTTCGCTGCTCAATACTGGATTCTTTAAATTCTTCGTTGACATGAATGTTGGGGGTTTTATTTTTTACATTTGGGATGTAGTAAATATTATAAATCTAAAGGTATCAATCAGTCCTCTGTTTTAATCTCATATCAGACTTTTGACAGACTGCTTCTTGTGTACAGATTTCCCTGTTTTAGCTGAAACAGTAAAAACATCTGAGATACTGATATTTTTGTACTGAGGCTCAAAAATAGGAAAAAAAAATCAAACACTTCTTACAATCTTAAGAAAACAGAAATACAAGTGTAGAAGTGGAGCTTTACATGTAAGTGTATCTGTTTGTAGTTGCAACACATTGATTTGTTTCTATTTCAGAGAGAAAATACTATTAAGATATCTATATTTAACATATTTTAACATAAAATAATTAAAATAAAAACTACGCTCATCCCTTCAAAGACTGCAAATACCTACAAATTTTATTTTTTAATATGGAGCATATTTTATACATTTAACCACTCTAAGAAATCTTTTGATTTTTTGGTATTTCTTTGGTTTATTTGGGATAATGAGAATTGCATATAATTTACGGAATTACTAATGTGAAAAAAGATACCACATTACAATAAGGGTCCCTTTATTAACGTTACTTAGTACATTATTAAGCATTAATAAACTATTAAATAATAATATGAAGTAATTAATTACTAAGCGATTTCAATCTTGGTCGACCAGAAATCCCAAATCTCTGTTTATATGGACACTAACTGAAATGATCCGATCATGCCGTGAGTGTACATACACCAAGCATTCAGTCAGATTAAACGGGTTGAGCATGTGCAGATGCGCAGAGTTCTTTCCCAAAAAAACTGTAAACAAAATCAACCTTGTCCGCATGTTTTCCCCCTTGCATTTTATTTTCTTATTCTCTAGCTTTATCCGTTGACTTACAGGTTTTCCACCCATTATGGACCTTCCTCGTATTTTTACCTGTATGCTTTTGTTTTTATTATTGCTTTAACTAATTTACAGGCTCATCAGTACGTGACACTACTGCTCCTCTGCGGGAGAGGAGAGCAGGATAACTTACTAACCTTCACCTGCTCACATCGCCCTCCAGCTTCTCAGACTTGTCCTGAGCGGCTGCAAAGGCAGAAAGACATCACGCTGAAGTTGTACACATGGGCAGTGGGCAGTAATTGACTCCAAGAATCCAAATGAGTTTGTATATGGACATAAATCGAAATGATGATGGGAGAAAACCACTTCTCTCAATCGAAATGAATTTTTATTTTGATCGAGCCGTACTGGATCAGAACATTTCGACTGACATGTTTACTTGAAGAATTTTTGATCTGATAGGGCTTTCATTCTGATTACTAGTGCCCATTTAAACATAGCTACTGTCAGAAACGTTAATAAAGGTTCCATTGCTTATTAATGCTTAATAATACACTAGGTAAAGTTAATAAGGAGATCCATTGACTATTAATGCTTAACAATGCACTAGGTAATGCTAATAAAGGGATCCTTTTTTAGTAATACTTAATAATGCACTAGGTAAAGTTAATAAGGGGATAATTAGTTTATTGATGCTTAATAATGCACTAGATAACGCTAATAAAGGGATCCTTTTTTATTAATACTTAACAATGCACTAGGTAACGTTAATAAAGGGATCCTTTTCTATTAATACTTAATAATGCACTAGGTAAAGTTAATAAGGGGATCCTTTGTTTATTATTGCTTAATAACGCACTAGGAAAAGTTAATAAGAGGACCCTTTGGTCATTAATGCTTAATGATGCACTAGGTAACGGTAATAAAGGGACCCTTACTGTAAAGTGTTACAAGTTCATTTTCTGCCTCAAAAAAGCAGAAACGTGCAGATGAAATGAATGTGGTCAATTTTATTCAGTTAGTTAAATTTGTTTAAAAAATAATAGTGGTGTTGCACTTCAATCCCTTGTTATCCGAACTTTACTCCGGAATTTTGCAACATATTGCCTTTTATTGCGGTTGTTTTGTAAATTAGATAAATATGAGAGTCTATTTAAAATGTGCCTTGGTTAAAAAATGTTTAGTGAAGAGATTTAGAAATAAGATTTTATCAGTTGTCATCATAAATAGCAGATTTTCTCATAACACAAGGAAATTAGATTGCAGGTTTAATGATTCTCTCGTTTATTTGCCAACATTTTTTTTACAGCAGACATTTGCCAAGAGTCAGTCTAAATAAAACGTGGTGCAGACATTTAAACATTCAGGATATGAATATAATTTCCGTGACATGCCCCTAGAAATCCATTTACTGTAAGGGAGTCCTGCATCAACGTTCAAGGCCACCACACATTCTTCCACATATAAATGGAAAAGAACACCGTGATCTTGGCAGGAGCGGGATGTCAGATCCACTCCCAAATGCATTTTAGGCAAATAGAAAAAATTTTAACTTCTGAAGGGTGTTTTTCTCAGTTTGTAATAAGACCAAAGGTTTATGGGTTCTTCTCATTTTCTTTTTGTAATATTTTTCTGAAATGGTATGACCAAAGTGAACCTGATTGGAAAATTTTTGACTTTTTAATGTGGGAATCCTGTACTGGATTGGGGTAAATTAGGTATTAAATGTCTTCTTTAACACAACAGAATATGATACTGTGTAGCTGCCATCTCTAGTGAACCAACGACTACAGTACAAACAGCAACAAAGCTACGCTACATTGGATTAAAACACATTTTACATGTAGCGTACATTTGATGTGACAGTGTGTTGTAATAAACTGTTTAAAGAAGTAAATATTTGCATGAGCATTCATGAAATCAACCACTTTTGAGAATGTATTGTATGATACAGTGTCATGTAGCGACCACCAGCAGGTTCTGTCCTCATTCACACCGACTGAGGTCCGGCTTTCACATAGACCAAATATCACTGAGCCCCATCACACCTGCTGTGGTGCGTTGCAGAGCTCTGCAAAGTTTCCACTTGCCGTCAACTTTTTCCAAATGGCGCATGCAGATTGTCATGTAGTTAAAGGTGTACTTTGCTGCAAAACCTTATTTTCATTATTGTTTCTGATCATAATCGATCACTCTGAGTTTGCAGACTGAACATGAAAATAGTCTCCTACCTCTTTGTCCTGCTTTAGCTTTTGATAGAAAATAACTAGTGAAATGCTAGGATTGGAAAAGCCTGACAGATCTATGTCACACTGTTACTTAAAGCTGTCATAGTGAATCTGTGAACAAGCCAGGTTTTGAACATAAACACAGTCACAAAACACTCCCCCCTCACCTCATCTTCCCTGAGACGCTTCTGGTGGAGCTGGAAACCTGCACTGCCAGACGAAACAAGATGGTGCTAAACACCAGTCGCTGTTTTCTAGGTCTAAACATCTTTTGTTGTCCATGACTTCAAATGCAGTTTTTGTTCTTTTTGGGACTCTGGTAGTTTGTCCTAATGTTGACGTGGTAGCAGCCGGCTGTTTCTCCTCTGATATTATTGAGACATGCACCTCTAATCCAGTGGTCTCCTGTTGCTAAATACAGAATTACATAATGAACGGAGGACCCAGGGAAGAGCAGTAGTTTGGCGAGCCTGACAACCGGATGGTTCAATAGCTGCTTTCAGTCTGATAGTTGTTATTGGAGGAGTTTTTTAGACAAATGCAAGACAACCACTTCATTATTATTATTATTATTATTATTATTTTAAAATCTCCACAATATATTTATAGCTATAGTCTACTATGTTAGAATGTTGTTAAGAGGCATGAAAACTGCTTTAAGCCAGTTTGTTTTCTAAACTTGCCTTTGTAGCATCAACATTCATGGACTCACCCATCTTGACTTGCGATGGAAAGGCTGTTGTTAGTTTAGAGTCCAGGAAACAACAGAGAACGTCTCAACTAGTAGAAGCTAACCATTAGCAACTCCACCACGTGGCAGAACTCCTCCTAGCTTATGTTACTTGTAGAGGTAAAACGTCAAAGTTGCAGAGCAAAATGAGTCAGTGGTAGAGTCATGTTGCTGTTATCCAATCAGAGGAGAGATGTCCAAATATCAGCAATTAAGACTCCAAATCCTGCTGTGTTCAGCTCAACTCTTATCTGGCTTCTTTCTATTTCCTGAAAGAGGTGCACCACAGCTTTTTTCCCTCAGTGCACGACTTACAAGGCTTTCATTTCTGCTAGAGACCACTGCAAATGTATTAAAAATATGAGTAAAGTTGATCTTTAAAGAAATTTCATGAGCCGAACAGGAAGTGAGACACGGAACAATGAGGTGCATCCGGTGTACTTCAAAATAAGACTTGTGTCACATTATTTTTGCTGGCTTTTGTTTTATTACAATCCAAGTCTTCTTATTTTTTCAACATGGTTGCAGTGGTCTGCAGTATAAACAAATGCCTTGTGAGCTGACCTCTGAGAAAAAAGCTCTGATGCCAGAGCAGAGGGGAGCAGCAGACGGATTTAAAGTTTCAAGTCAAATGTTCTGATATTCGGATATCTCCCCTCTGATTGGCTAACAGCAACGTGACTCTACCACTGACTCAGTTTTTTTGTGTAACACAGATGTTTTATCTCCACAAATAACACAAGCCTGGATGGGTTCTGGAGTTGCTAATGCTAACTGTTAGCTTCCACTAGCTGAGATGTTGTCTGCTGTTTCCTGGATGTTACATCAACAGCAGTCTTCCCTGTCGTTAGCCAAGGTGGGTGAGTTCCCGAATGTTAATTCTCAATACGATGTCGAGCTGACTGACTTTCCCAACCTGAGCTTTTCCCCGTCTATTCTCTATCAGCAGCTAATGCAGGAAATAGGGGTATAAGACTATTTTCACATTCAGCCTGCATGTGAAATTCAAAGTGATCGATTGTATTTAAAAAATAAGTTAAAAAAATGTTTTTTTCAATGAATTTGGTCTTTATTAACTGGGATATCAGTTCAGTGATAGCGTTATTTTCAAGTACAACTTTAAATGTACTATGTCAGAGTTCTAATCTAATTTAGTGCTCTTGTGAGAGCAGATTTCCTGAGACGTTCAGCACATGAATCGCAGTCAGTGTGAATGGCAGTCTGTCCAGAAGCCGCATGGAAACCGGATCGCAGCTGTTCCGCGCTTGGTGTGAATGAGGGGTTAGGGATCAGAGTCCATAAGCATTTAGGTCTTTTGTTTATTATATTAGAATAGAATAGATGATCTGAAGTCACAGCTTGTTTAATTGCAGTTGCTAAAACGACAATCAGAGTCTGATGATGGCTGAAATAACGAACAGAGAATATGTTTCAGAAAATAAAATATCTACGAATAATACCATTCCTTTGTGATTCTGTAAACTAATTAGAAAAAAAATCAGTGCATACAGAATATTTACAATTTACAGTAATATCTGCAGTACTCCTTAAATATATCATCATTTCAGAAAGGAAGTTTTTGGACTTAAGTCCGTAGAAATCTGATAAAAAAGGCATAAAATTGCAGAAATTGCAGTTATACAAAAACACCAAAACAATTTTAAAGCAATGTGTATTATCTGTTTTCCATGGATACCATGAAAAATACAGCAAGCTTCTCATCTGCTACAGGAAGACAACGTAATTCTCCGGGATTAGACCAGTTCTCCCCTCGTAGGTTGCTTGGAGCCAGCCCGGTTCCACTGAGGGGTAGACTAAAGCACAAAGGAGACAAAAAAAAAAAAAAAACAGAAAAAAATAATGAAAACATTCTCAAACCTCAGAGAAAACAGGAGCCTTGCTTTTGAATCAGCTGAATGGATCTTTTACATCTGTTTGAAGCTGCATCATTTCCACAAGGAAAGCCTATTTCTCATTCAGGGTCACAATGATCTTCAGAGTCAGTTCCCTGGATGAAAGTCACCGTTATGCAGCAGCAGAAACACAACTGGAAAAATAAACACTAATACTGAGACAGATGAACTAAACATAGCCTCAGATTTGCTGAATTAGGGAAGAGAGAAATATGGCCTGTTAATGTGGAGAGCAATAAAATGATCGACCTGCTTGTAAATGGAAAGGAGCATTTGTTGACGTTTTTGTATTTGGCTGCAGACTGAGCTGGCTGTGTTAACAGGGAACAGGCACTGGTGCCTTCCATCACTAGGTTACAGTGACCCGACTGCTCTGGTGACGGGCCAAGTCATCTCTCTTCCACGAGGAAGAAAAAGCAGAAGGAGAAAAACCAGCTCATGGGAGTGTCATGCTCGGAGCAATGCTTCTGTATCCCTTAAGAGATAATTATTTCTGTAATTTATCAGAATATAAAGAGGATTAGGACCAATGAAAACAAACAAGAAAAAAAAAATGAAAAGAAAGAAAATTCTGACTTTTTTCTCTGAATTCTGACTGTTTTCTCACAATTATTAAAGTCAGAATTCAGAGAAAAAAGTTAGAATTCTGAGATTAAAGAGCAAATCAACCCCACCACAGTTTTATTCCACTCCCACTTCCTGTTTGAAAAATGCAACAAATGCTGTTGCCTAGCAGACCAAGAGGGTGCAGCTGCTAACAAATACACACACACACACACACACACACACACACACACACACACACACACACACACACACACACACACACACACACACACACACACACACACACACACCCACACACACCCACACACAGGCTCACAACGTAATTGTGACATCATAATGAACCAACTAACGTCATAGCGTACCTCTTAGCCAATAGTAATGGCAGATTTAAATTCAAATGCAGTGCAGAGTTTTTTTTACCAGAAAACGATGCAACACTGACAGTTTTATGCAGAATATTTAAATTATTGACTGCACGTGTCTACAGCACGACTAGACACTCATTCATATAATTTATCAGCAAAAAAAGTTGATTTGGGAGTGACTTGCTCTTTAACGTCAGTTTTGAGATTGTAAATGATAAATGATAACTGGCCCGCACTTGTATAGCACCTCTCAGAGTAAGGACTCCAAAGCGCTTTACACTACAGAATATCATTCATCCATTCACACACACATTCACACACTGTTTAAAGACAGAATTTTTAATTCAAAAATTTGAAATTAAAGTCTGATTAAAGTCAGAATTTAGAGAAAAAAGTCAGAATTCTGAGATTAAAGTAAAAATTTTGAGAAAAAAATCAGAATTATTATTTTTTCTTTCCAGTGGCCTCGATCGCCTTCCGTAATTTCAGACAGGAGTCAGTGTGCAAAACGTTCTCAGCCTGTGTGCTGCTGGGAGCAAATCCTGCAGAAAAAGTATGCTTACCGTTTGAGAAGTGCGCCCCCTGGGGGAAGCTGAGTTCATTGCTGTGCTCTGCCTCACAGGAATACATTGCCTTGGCATCTCTACAAACAAAAAAAAAACAACTGGAAATGTCAGTGTGCACATGAAGAGACAAGGGTGTTTGCACTAGAAGATGTCACATTTTTACTCCACCTTCCAGTTAGCGTGGACTGCTGGGAAGAAGGATTTTCAAAAAATAGCGCTCTCGCAGCAACCCTGAGTCAGACAGAGAAACAAACCTTCAGTGTGTACTTTCATTTTAAACACAAACACTCATGATCAGACGAATCAGAGTTATGAGGAACTCATAATCCATAACCCACAGTCTACGAAACCACCGCCTCAGAGAGGAATTTGATCCTGTTTGAAAGTTTTGACCAAAACAAATTTGTCTACTCAGCCTTGGTAGCATTTCACATTGTTTAACAGTCAAGTGAAAGGCAAAATGACCTAATGGGGAGGTTTCCTTCCCCCAGACAGACTCAGCTGAATGCTCCTGAGCCGATTTCTATGTAACAAAGATGTGTTTGACCCAAGAACCCAGGAGTCAAGGGCGCAACGAAGCCCAGGGCGTGCTGGGCGTCAGCTAAACGGGGAAAGCACTCGACAAGAGCGTGTGAGTGGCTCTGCAGACATAGAAGGCAGAACAATCTATCGGTCCCAGGAGAACGAACGAAGACTGCTGCTGGGTCACATCAACCCCACAGCAGGCAGAACATAATTAAAGGCAGCTCTCCCACCAGCTCAGAGAGACATAAATCTCCAAACACACACTCATGAAGTTAGAGACGCTCACAAACACACCACGGAGGAGGCTGGCGACTCAGCGGGGAGACGGGAGGGTGAAATCGCTGCTAATCCGCAGGGAAACGTAGTGGATTATTAGAAATGTGTCTTCTGTTTAATATGTGACGAATTATCTAGTTCAGCTCAGCAAGTAATATTAGAAACACTGACAAAAGACAATTATCTAAAAAAATAAACAAGATTAAAAACTAGAAATCACTCAGTGACTCAGACAAGCTCCAATAAACTACAATTGTGCAAAATGTGATAAATCAGTTTTTGTTGAGTTGCCTAATCACCAATGATAAACTACTGAACGAAACGCCAAGAACTTCAGTTTGAACAGATGAGATTATGTTTATCAAACTAATAAAGCCAATGATTTCTACACAGAGTCATTACACTGATCCGGGTCTTTGGTAGCCGTTATTAGAGCATCCATCCATCCTGCGGCGGATCACAACTTTTGGAGGAAGGTCTGGGTGCCCCGGGGGCTTTAGGCTGTCTTTGGTCTCCAGGGTCGATATACTTTGGACAGATCCAGAGCTGCTCCTTTGGCCTTGAAGGCAACACACACACACACACACACACACACACACACACACACACACACACACACACACACACACACACACACACACACACACACACACACACACACACACACACACCAAAAATTACTTGTACCTTCTTGTAAATGACACAAAGACACAATAAGGTCTGACACTAAAATGGTAAAAAATGATTGGCAACAATGTTTTCAAGCCACTATCTAAATTTAGCTCGGGTCAAGAAGGAACAGACGGACTTGGAAAGCTTTGGAAAATTTAATCGCACAACTGACAAGTTTCTAATTTCTATCTACATCTCCTACCGTCAGACACAAGCAGGGATCTGAGCGAGGGAGAGAAGGATCGGCTCAGCTGTGCTGGCTTGAGGTCAGTGTGGCAGTGGGGGGCCTTCTTGGGTGCAGGAGACAGTCTTGGCGTTGTGTTATCTGAGGAAATGCTGAGAGCATCCTCCGAGTCTCCGTCTGTTCGCCCCGCGTCCTCCTTGGAGCTGGACTCTGGACTGCTGACACACACCGTGATACCGGGGCCATTTGAGAGCTGCGACGGCATCCGCCGTGGGATTTCTAACTTGTTCTGATCCGTCTTCTGTCTGGAGGAAACTGGTTTAGAGGAGGCGTTCTGCTCGGAGGAGTGGGATGACAGCGATTCCATGCTGCCCATCGGGGTGCTGCTTCGACTGCTGCTTAAGGTGTCACCTATGCAGAGACCAGGATGGAGGAAAGGCCCTCATTAAACCCTTAATTACTGGAACAAAATCGGCTTAATGCTAAAAGAAAAAACACTTAAACATCAACTAAGAAAACTTCCAAAACAGGTGAAGATATCTGAGAGACATTAATAATCACTAACTTCCTGTTTGGTACTCACTTTCTGCATCAGCCAGGCACAGCGTTGGCGTGTATAGGCTGCGGGGTTTACGGGGCCCTTTGGTCAGACAGATGGCTCTACTTCTGCGAGAACCAGGTCTGCTCTGTGGTTGTGGCAGTGGCACATTGGGGTCTGGAGGCTGGTGGAAAATCTGTAGGTCCAGAAAAAAAAATGGACAGTTTAGATTTTCAGTCAACTTTAAGGTAGGACCTGCATTAAATAAAGAGCCATTGAATGAATAAAAGTAGATCTTTGCTGCTCATTAGATTTTTAGACTACAGGATTAACTAAATGGCAAAGTTTAAAACAAAGATTTAAATCTGTTGGTTCTTGGGACCACATAGGCCAATGCGCGTTTGCGAACTATGGACCCTCGTACATGGACTGCTTGTCCAGAACCGCGTGTCCCAGGAACTGAACTATATGGCCGGCGGTGATATGCCCCTTTATCCTCTCACGGGTGCCCCTGTTAAGCCCATGGACTGTGGACTGCCTGATCTTGGCCCCTTTTTTCCCCTCATGGAGTCAACCGCCCGCCGGCCTCCCTCCTTCCACACTGCTACCTCTCGCATGGACGACGACACCCCTGGTAGAATGTCCACAATCGGACTTAGTTGCGTACCACCTGCGTGGGTGGTTCCTCCTCGTTATGCACGTGGGGACTATCCCATTTCCTATTCCCTTTTGTTTTTGTGCCTGACCAAGATCCAAGACAAAGACCAAAGGCGACCAAGGCGACCAACGTTCCTGAGGGAAGAACCCATCTGTGCTTCCGACGATCGAGCTCTGGCACGATCCCCGAAACCAAAAGGGGGAATGTTGAGGTTCTGCCCTCATGAGAAAATTACTACGCAGTATTTTCTCCAAAAAACTGTCATCTGCGCCCTGAAGCGTAGACAATAAAAATCAGTGCCAGCAGGGACTTCATCTCCCATGATTCTCTGCAGCCGGCAGCAGCTTAATGACATCATCAGTCTCCACATTATATTCATAGCTATACTATGTTAGAACGTTGTCACAAGGATACTAGGCAGTTTTGACTTGAGTTTAGCAGCCCTAGTGTCTGTTGTCAAAGCAAAAGGGAAGTTTATCTCCTCGATATGCGTTTGTCTTTTTAAACGTAATCTTAATCTAGCTGCTGAAATGTCACCTCAACCTTCATTAGTTTCTACAGGAGCAGCTCATCACTAAATTAAACAAATCAGCTGTGTTTACAATCTAAAACATGCAGGAAACAAGCTGGAAGCAGACTGCAACACGCTCCACTTTTACTAGGCCCAACAGGGACCGGATCGGCACTCTGAAGTTGCAAGTGCGATATTCTGGCTAGAGAGGGAGGTGGGAGTCTGAGTGACACTTTAATAACCGTGTAAAGGATCATTTTAGCACATACTAGCTCAGCACCATCAGTTTTTATTTGAGAAAATTCTCCATGTATGATCATTTAAAAAGCAGAAAATTTAATAAAAATTGTGAAATAAAACTAAAATTAAGTAATTTGAGACTAGATCTGAGAACTAGGCTCTTCTGGAGAGTGTGTTAAACACCACTCACTATCAGCTGACATTATCTTGTCCTACCTGGAAGATATAGATGGTGCCTGGATGAGAAAGATGGCTGTTCTCTTTGAGTCTCTGTCTGACAGATGTTTTCTTTTTCTTTCCTGTTAAAATTTTTATTTCCGTCTCACCATGTAGCCAAGTCCTTGCTCAAAAGGATTTACTGGATTTCTCTTTATAGAAAGTTTTCTCAGGTGGCTTTTTATTTCCAGGACTTGTGCAATAAATATAAAACAAAGCAAATAGTTTCATTTTTGTAAATTCAGATATACATCAGTGTTGTCGACATTGAATAAAACACATCCATTAGAACGGTGGCAGTAAAAGTTTTGTAATAAAGCCTCAAAGTGTTACACGTACTTTAAGTATGCATATGTACTCAAGGCCACACTCACCTTGTCAAAGTTCTCAATGAGTATTTCCACCACAATGTTCTGGAATTTGATGTTCATCATGGCAGCAACAGTCTCCTCCTGCGATCGCATTAGAGTTGGCCCAAAGATAACGCCCAGGTTTGACACCGTCATCAAGTTGGACTTGTTTTCTGCAGAAACTCTACGAGTCGGCGAAAATAATTTAATTAGCTTCAGTGTTTTGGATTTTCTCTGAGAGCCTTCAGTTCATTCCAGAAAACACGCACGTAACAAGGTGTTTTATTAGCAGCTCCAGCATTTCCTTGTTCTTCTCTGGTAGCTTGTGGACCAAGGCGTGGACCGCACACACCCTGTAGTTCTGATCATCAGACTCTGGGAAAAGCAACACAAGAAGGGAGGAATCAGAAAGCTGAAACAATTGATTTAATGTTTGTTTTTCTAAAGTAGTCAAAAGAACAATTTGCAAAATGACTCAAAAACCTTGTGGACAATTAGCAATCATTCAGTGTTCAGGAGAATTCAATAGAAAAATCTAGTGACAATAAAAAAAAATACAGGAGTACAGCTTTATAAAAAAAACTGTGGAATCCCACAGGGTTTAGTATTTGGAGATTCATTATTTTTACTGTTAGCTTCTTTTCATGCTGTTTTAAATCATTTCTATATATTTCCCGACTCCCGTTTTTATTTTATTAAATGCTATTTTGAAGTTTTGTGAAGCACCTTGTGATTTTAAAGGGATAATGTGTAGTTTTTATTGTTAATCTCTGGAAATATCTATAAATATGTGGTTGAAAAGGAATTCAATTCCCACTCGTTGAAAAATAAAATATAAATAAAAATCAGGTCTAAAATACATGGGAGCGGGTCTAAGTCTCTGGGCGACGCCATATTAGATGCCATGTTTTCTCCTACGGGAGCCCTTGAGGACAAAATGCATTTACTGATTTGTAACAAACTGTTACAAAACTTTCATCATTCATAAATTTTGTTGTTTTACACATTTACCTCTTTACTCATTGCCACTGATGAAAGGGAGTCTGATGCGCTTGTTATGTTGTTGAAGTTTGCTCTCCCCAGGGCTTTTTGACCCTAAAGGGGACCTGTTGGTAAGGTCTTACACAACACAAAAATACAGCTTGCTTGCAAAAATGTAGGTATCTACTGCCAGGGAAAATACACACTGTCACTTTAACCTAGAAAGACACTTTACAAAAACCCCTTTTCTTATTCTTGTTCAAAATTAATAAAACAAACCATCATGTTTGCAGATGACACACAAATATTTAGTCAAAATATTGGTCTAATTAATTTTTCTGAATACATTAGTTATATTTGTTGAAAATAAAGAACATTTTATGGTTAAATGATACAGAAATTAAGGATTCAACAAACAGTTTTGATCTGACTCTTTATTAAAGCTCCATTTACCATTTGTTCAAAATGTTCTGCATATATTACAATATTTTTGCAAATTAAATGTCAATATTTTCTTGTCCTTTTATTTTTAATCACACATATCATCATGTAATGGCATTTGAGAAAAACAAACATTAGCAATAATTAACCTTTAAAAAAAGAGCTAATAGGATATTACATGACCCTTTTTATAATGTAATCATACTTTTTAGATAAATATAATGCACATGTATCAATGGGCTTTTTGGACATAATCCAATTTACTTATTTAAGAAGAGACCCTTTAACAAAGACTATTTCTGACATTTAATTAAAAATAATTAAATCTAAGTTGATTTTAGTTTAGAAAGTCTGATTTTGGTATTTTTTGGTTTAACATTTTTTATATGACTTATAGTTTATGAGACAAGTGTGTGTGACTTTTAGCTTTTTCTGCTGTTAGGCAATTTAGATACAGAATAACAGTTTTTCTGCAGAAATTTACCCAAAAATGTTATTATATACTGTACATAGATTTAGAAAAACTGGTGATGCATGGTTAATATTTAGAACTACTCAGTACGTAATTCCATGACTTTGGCAAAAGTGGCTAAATAACCCAGAGAGTATTTTCCTGTTATTGTTCAGATAAAAAGGTACAGAATCGTCTTTGAGCAGATACAAGATCAGCTTTTTGTGTCCACATTAAAGCTATCCAGCTGTGCAGAAAGACAAAAATGAGTACAAATGAAGCCAATTTAGCTTTGGAGTTTGATATGAGATGAGAGAGACGTGAAGCGCACAGCGTGGCGCCATTTCCGAGACAGAAATGACTTAATTGTTCCCATCTTAGCTCATTTGAGTTTTACTACTTTCATGAATGTTGGATGATCCTCAAAGGCGAGCACTGCTAGACACACATTCAGTTTGTTACACTGATGATTCAGTTCAGCTCAAATGTAATATTTGCCAGCATTTCTGAGAATGACACAATTTGTCCCTTTTTATACAGAATCTTGACTGATAAAAAGTGTTGCTGCTTAAAAAATAATAAGAAGTTTTTTTTTGGAAACTTACTGACAGCCATGATAAAATCTTTGTGGAGCTTGAAAGTCATTATAGGATCAGAGAGACACCTGGTGAATAAAAGAAGAGTTGTCATTTAGTATTATTTGGTGACACGAGTTATCTGAATACAACCACGGTCCTGTTTGAGTCACTGATGGTGCTGAATACACGACTAACAGCAGGGTGCGGTTTCAGAGAGGCTTAATGGAGCCAGTGATGACTCCTGGCAGTTAAGGACATGCAGCTGGCAGGGCGAGCTGACCTGAGGTAATTCTTCAAACCGCTGGTGATGGTTTTGTTGTCCCACATGTCTGGATCCAGCTCCACGTCCACAGGTGCCTTTGAAGCTAAAAATAAATAAAACACACACTTGACTTTATTTTGTGACAGTGTTGAGGGTGTAAAGAAATAAAACAATCCAGGATAAGATGAACTGACAGGATGTGTGAATTAAATATATTTCTTATTAAAAAAAAGACCCAAGAGGAAAATCTAAATTAAATTCAAATGCAAACATGTGCAGGAGTGGCGCGCCTTTAAGATGGAGCTCAAGCTTTAGAGGGCTTCTGGTAATTCACTCTGACGTTTCCTGTGCACATGTATGAAATGTATGCAAACAGGATTAGTTTGGGTAATTTAATAAGGTACTGGCAAAATATGAGGGCCAGATTGTTGTTGCACGTTTACACCACTGGGAGGAGCTCTTTCTTCACTCTGACAGTCGCTTCATGTTTACAGAGGCTGTCTGCAGACAAGCATGACTAATATAAGGTATTTAAAAAAAGTAGATAAATACCTATTATACTAGTTTTGATTCATTTATACCTCAAGTTTACATTTCCCCCAACATTTTGGTAAAGAAAATGCTATTAGTAACTGTATAAGTAAATGTATTTAAAATGTATTTATTTTAAATACATTTGGTGTTTGATGACCCAGAATGAGGTTATGATCACAACTTTAAAGGGATATTTTGGTCATTTTGAAGCGTGCCTTTGTTGAAAAGTTCACCTTACTTCCATCTTACCCTTATTAGATAACTAGTTATCAACCAGCAGTTGAGAGGATTAATGTTTTTCAGTACTTATGATTTTTATTTTCATGATCAGCCCATATTAGACTGCTGCAAGTTAAAATTGGTTAGTCTGAGTGGATCTGCATCCAAAATAGATTGTTGTTGTTTTAAAATGGCTCAGATCCCCCCATTACGAATGTAGAAAAAAGCAAACATCACAACAAAAAGAAGTGGGAGGGAGTGCACACTTGTGCAATCCCAACATTTCTCCACACAAGTTATTTGTCCAATTTCCTTGTTTGTATGAATAAGAAACACATTTCTTATTACCTTAAAACACTATTATTCAGTCAGTAACTCTATAAATTCACATCCATTTCGAAATCAAACACTTCTAACTCACACATGTCAGTTGCATAGGCTACATAGTAGTTCATGCAAATTTCATCTTAAAAACCCATCCTATTTTGCATTACACGGCTATTTCTGCAGAGATACCTGGACTTGACTTCTGGACGCACTGGAAGTGGAACCTTTTGCGGTTGGGGAATTGTCCACTTGTGAATAACCATGGTTTAGAAAATAATGGTAACTTAAACAAAATTTAGGAGACTAAAGCTATTTTGCGCAGGAATGATAGAAATACCACTTTTGTCAAAAAAAAAAGGGCTAAAATAGCTTTCACCAAAGTCATGGTTCAATACAACAGAATTAAGTGACACAAGTCTAAACGGAAGTTTGAGTAACTTCAGAATTAGTAAGTGTTTGTTTCATGTAATCCGATCTTGAAGTAAAAAAAATTAAGTAAAACAAAACTTTGTAGCGAAGAAAAATCAAATAATTAAAATGTAAAACACACTAAACTTCTCGGCTAGGTGATCCTTGTGAGGGAAAATGGCTCCTACACAAACAGATACACGAATGACATGCTGTAGCACATTTCAAAGTGTGTTTGATCAAATGATACAACAGCTTTCCATACCTGCTGCTTCTGCGATCACAACCAAACTGTTGGATCTTTAAGCCCCTGCATGCAGCCTTCCATGTAAAGGTTTTAATGAGCTCCCTTGCTTTTTTCCTGTTGCAGCTGTTAGCAAAACGTGGCTAAACAACACATGCTGCGTTTATGGAACCGATGATCAGCAGCGACTAAGGCCCAGGTCATACAGAAAGATAACTGTGCCAATTTTTGACTTGAATCTCCTCATCCGACAAGCTCAAAGACGCACCAGGTTACTGTAATTGCTCTAAAAACAATTTGATCAGGTACTACTGCCGTGTGTGGTGTGTTAAGATCACTGTGGTCTGCTCAAAAGACTGCCAGGACCATTCCGATCATAAATCGGGGATATTAAAGATGGAGTGTCTTGGTCTAATATCAAGAACAATCAAGCAAACTGCCTGTTGGATGTGATGTAGAAAATCAGAAAGCAAGGTGATGGAAGCACGCTGAATGCCCCTCCTCCACCATGTTTTTTTTACTCTGAAGTCAAACCCTTCATCCACCTTAGCTGATGGTGGTGCTGACTGTGGATGGCAGCCTTGCTTCTGTCAGTGCTCCTCAGGGCAGCTGCGGCTACAATGCTGGTCATCACCACCAGTGTGTGAATGGTTGAATATGTTGTAAAGAACCTGGGGGGTAGAACCCTAGAAGGTTCTACCAAACATAGGCCATAGGCCGTTTGTGGTCTTGCACATTTTGAAAATCGTCCGACAAATCAAAAATACAACTATGTAAACTGCACACTTTACCCGAGCCAAACGTTGGTACATCAAAGGTTCAGACAGAATGAATACAGATTCTGCTCCACAACTACTTAGATGTACTTAATCTTCTCCAGAGCTTGCTGCTGTTTGCTGTGTTTCACTAAAGAACTGAGTGACACTCTACATATAATAGGATCGGTTCAGATAACCATTGTAGGATTTGTTGGGATGTGTAAATATCAGTATTTCTGTTATTGATGGTGTGTAAATGGACATTGTAAATGTTGTGTACTGAACTGAACACTAGGTGGCAGCAGAGCACTGCTAATATATATTGAGGCGTAGTGTAGAGGTCAGAGGAAGTTCTGCTGGGAGTTACAAGATGAATGCTGCATGTACGCTTGCCCCTCCTGCTGTAATAAAGTTCATATGGATAAAGTTACTGCCTGCCTGCCTTCTACCAACCACAAAAAATAGCAGTAAAAAAGTAGGTTTACTTCTTTCTTTCTTTCTTTCTTTCTTTCTTTCTTTCTTTCTTTCTTTCTTTCTTTCTTTCTTTCTTTCTTTCTTTCTCATGAAGAGCACTTTGTCGTGATTCATTTAATTGTAGTGTTAGTTGTGTTTGGAGCACGTTAAAAAGGTTGTATGGTCTTGTAGCCCTGGCTCTGCCGTGTTGTTAAAGGTGCAACGTGATGATATTTATTAATATATAGGGCATAGCTTGTGATGCTAAACTTTTTTGGCCCCTAATTGGGCAGTACTTGGGTTCAAGGGGGTGAATTGTGACTTTTTAGAAAAATTAATTAATTGTACTTACTGTAATGTCAAACTCACACCCCTATTTATAACATTCACACAAAAACACACCTCCAAAAAAATCCTTTATATTTCAGCCACTTACAAAACACTGTGCTCATCAGCTTCTGCACTTTGGAGTTGACTCCTCCAATTCTGTACAGACCCATGGTGTTGATGCCTATGTGGCATTACAAAACACAAGTTAGCACTGGAGTGTAAGGGAATGAAAATGTCAGTTAACTGAGACTAGGCTGCATTCATCTGATGCATGGAACATTTCCACGCCTCACCTCTCTTCTCCACCAGATCAATGCATTTCTTCACAAAGTTAAAGCCTGCATCGTTAAGATACGCTGCAACAAAACACAGACACGGGTTGGACATGTCCGTTAGCAGCAGGGTTAACTACACATCATGTAGGAATAATCAGCTTTCCCTTATGCCCAAGCTCAAACTAACAAGATTAATAAGACCCAGCCTTGGTGCTGGAAGGCTCCAGCGTGTCAGCCGAGTGGGCGAATGTCATATAATTGTGTTAATGAGCACAGATAGCTAAAGGTAACAAAGTAGCCTCCTTGTTGTCGGTGTGTTTGGAGCTTCATCAATCGTTTGTGAACACTGATTTGATAATAAAGTTCGGAAGGATCATAATGAAACACTTACTTTCTTCTTTTTTGCTCAATATGACTGGAAGGTTGTAAATCTGTTGAAAATGTAAAAAAAATAATAATAATTTTTTAGGGAAAAAATGTATATAAATTTTTTTTTCATAGTACTTGAAGTGATTTCTGCTCTTTTAGCATGTTTTCTTAAATAAAACATATTCAGTCACCAGAAGAGGGTGCCAGTGACAAATAATTCAGTTTTCACATGATTTATTGATCAAAGAAACAATTAAAGAGCATCACTGGCAGAATGCAGGCAGCACAAAATACAACTTTGAAAGATTAACATGCAGAGATGCTCACCGGCTCCTTGCCATCCATGGCCTCCAGCCACAGTCTTCTGTTGGACTCCGACAGCGCCTGCAGTGTCATGACGCCGTGCCTGGAAGGTTTTAGCAGGAAAGCTGGTCTCAGTATGATCTCATTGCTTTGGGGCCCTCTGTGCAGACCATGTTTACACTGACTGATTCAACTATAAAAGGACTAGTGGAACAAAAATAGCTTCAGTGCAAAAATGCTCGACTTCAAACTGTGTCTTCACTCGGCTTTGTGCTTCACAATCTACTCCCAGTTAAAAGCCACACAAGCTGAATGTTAGTGATTCATCTTTTGCACCCAACATGCATAACTATTGTAATCTACTTGTGCTACAAAACAAAAAACTGTGTGCTGAACACACACGACACACTGATGACACTGGAAACAAATGAATTTTCTTCCTTTCCCAGTAGTGGCAGTTAGTACAGTATGAGCAGGGAGTCTTATCAGCTTCTTACAATCAGGAGGTAAAATCAATCAAATCCCAAAGATGACAAATGTTGAGTCTGTAGAAGAATAAAGATATTTTTTCAAGCTATTAAGTGTGTTTTTGTGTAAAGGCTATGAATAATTATTGTCTGACCTGTAGATGGCTTCCTGAATGGCTTTGTCTGTTCAGGGAAACAGTTGAGAAACATCATTTCCAGGAACAAGAAGTGATCCACATCAGGATTTAGAGTCTTAATTCCTATATTTTGACATCTCTGATTGGATAACAGCAACATGACTCTACCACGGACTTGCAACGTGGATGTTTTGTATCCACAAATAACCGTAAGTGGAGGAGGTTCTGCAGTGTGGGGAAGTTGCTAATGCTAACAGTTAGCTGCTACTAGCTGAGATGTTCTCTGTTGTTTCCTGGACGCTAAAAGAACAACAACCTTCCCCGTCCCAAATCAAGATGATTGATTCCATGAATGTAAAGTGACAGAGTGACGTAGATCTGTCAGGGTTTTATAATCCTAGATTTTCACAATCTATTTTCCATCAGAAGCTGACGCAGTGGAACATTTTTCTGCTCAGCCTGCATGAAAAAGTCACAGTGGCTGATTATAATCAGGAATTAAATAGGTTTTCCAGTGTTCCACACCTTTAAACATCATTTATTGTCATGTTAATGTGGTTATTTTAACAAAAAATGTGTAAGAATTACAGCCAGCTTTTACCCATGGATGAACAGGAAGTGCTACATCTAACTCTACCTGTGGTATTTACAAATATTTATAATTACAAATTATGTCATGTCAATTTGACGGCAGAGTAAAGTTTTGTTTTAATAATTAAAAAATAAAAATAAATATTGAATTAGAAAATTCTAATAATACTTTTTTATTAAATCTGGTTTTTAATTAAATGTAAATATATACGTTTATAATACATCCTCTGATGCCTCTGGACACATCACCAGTGATATTTTCCTGGAGTCATTGAGTGTTTCGGGTCTTTCAACATCGTACACTGTCTTTGTGGTGACCTAGCCAGGGTTGATCAGACCCTAGCTTACTACAATGTCTCCATGTTTCTGCCATCTAGAGACCTTCTCGTCTGTTTCGGTGGTGCTGCAAACGGCTCGTTTCTTAGATTGGGTTTCTTTCTTGGATTGGGGGGAGTTAAACCACCAAATAGTTCCCGAGCGCAGCCACCGCTGCAGCTCACCGCTCCCCCCATAGGGATGGGCCAAATGCGGAGATGAATTTCACCATTGTGTGATGATGACTATGGGACTTAAACTTTAAGCTCACCCTTGATACCAAGGCAGCTCTAATGCACTCTAACCAAGGATCTAGCCTTAAAGCCCCTGCATCCACATTCCAAAAGGTATCACCTCGCTCTCCAACCAACCTGCTGACAATCGTTAACCAGTCCTGCATACTTGGAAGAGCATCCTGCCATAGGCTTCCTCCATGCAATATTCCCAGGGAACGGTTAGCTCCAACAGTAAAACTTGTTTAGTAGCCTCAGACACAAGAACAATGTCTGGTCTGTGACAGTAATATGACTAACATTAATAAAGAAATAAAACTGTCATGTTTTTAATGAAAGTACTAATCCTAATCCTCCATCTGGCTTATTTAAGGTTAGATGAGGTTTGATATGAATACATGAATAGTGTTGACTGAACTCAGATCAGTCCTAAAGAAAGTAAACTTTATTCTTCCAAACAGTGGCCGCTCAGGGAGCTAATTTGTTTGTTTCAGATTAATTTTGCATGGATAGTTAGGTAAAACCACTGATTATGAGGGTTGTGTCAGTTTTTTAAATTTGCTCATGTGAAAGAACAAGAAAACCAGATTTGGACTTTGTCTTCAGTTCAGCACAGCAGCAAGACAGAAAGACAAAATCTGCCTCTGGGGCAAAAATGGATGTAGCAAACAAAGATAATGATTATAATCTTTAAAAAATAGCTTTAAAAAATCTGCACAAAGAAAATAATCTGCATTAATTTTTAGCATTTTAGAGAATCAGAGGCAACATGTTTGTGTTCTAATAAGGATGAATGGATGAGCGTGAATCTGACTGGGGCGGTTTTATGGTTAAGATGCACCTCAGGGCATTGCAGTGTGAGATAAATGAGATGTCCTGCAAATAAACGACAGTTACTGTCCATGCTCAGCCACGCTCACCAGGGATTAGCAGAACTGGGCTTGTTGCAGTGATACCATGAAACTAGAGCTATAACCTGAGGTATAGATCTTTGTGATTAGCTCATATCAGGACTTTTTACTCAGCTGAGGTCATGAACCTCTTGGAGTCTCTCAGTTCACAGTGCAGTGGGACTTATTGGGAAAAAGGATAGAAGATATTATGAATTTTCACATATGTGTCTGATTTAGTGAAGTGGTAAAGAGGGCAAACAGCAACAATTAGCGTTGGATTAGAGTGGCCACATGCAGCACATGCATCTGTTCTCTGATCAGTTCACATACCGGACTTTACAGAAAAACCGAAGCGGTCTGAAAAGAGTTCCACGATAGATGTCATTTCTACAATGACATGAGCACAAAGAGAATGGCTTAAAAAGGACACGGGATAAATATGAGACTTGCAGACAAAAGAGGGACATAAAAAGACATGCAGGACACAAACAGAGCACAGGACTAACAAATCCCTAAAAGAATCGAGGCACTATAGATGTTAATCCAACCTCAACTGCTTTTGTACGAATCCAAGAAAACACATAATGCATGAGAACAAAACGATCCACATGCTGATCTTCGAAAGTTAGAGGTAAACGACGGGGAACAACTTGAATTTGTATTCATACAGTGCTTTTCCAAAAAATCATGGACTATTTTACACTTTATCCAATGCTTTGAGTCAATGCCTTTTAGGCTAAGCATCACAGACCTCTCCATCACTTCAATATCGAAGCAGAAACGCTTGTCAATGGAGTCTGTTTTCCTCCGAATGCACGACTTGAGATGGAATTTCTCCGGCTGACTCAGGACAAGGCCGTTCTGAAGAGAGAAACACAAAGATACACACAAAACACACAGAAACACACAAAAAGAAAGACAAAACTCACAAATCATTCATAGCCAAGGGGCAAACTCCAACTGCTAAAACTGAAGCCAACGCAAAAGTGACAGAAATTGCAGTTCTCCACTCATCCACTAGGGGCTGGCTTTCAGAAAGGAGCAAGTTCCCGTTGACTCCCATGTTAAAACATTTTTACAGCAGAAATAAACATTTTAGGTTCAATAGGTCAAGTTTACCATCATTTTTGTAACTCATCTGTTTAGACGTAATTAAAGCTTGATATTATGATTATTTAGGTTAGTGCCCTTTTGATTGAGAGGTAGCAGATGAGCTGTTAGGACTAGCATTGGCAGCTAGCTCCAGACAGCCTCAGCCTCACGTTAAATTCAAATTCAAATTCAAAAATACTTTATTAATCCCAGAGGGAAATTGATTGCTGTAGTAGCTCAGAATAATAATAATAATCAAAGTGTTACAGCCTAGATGGCAGCAGGTAGCAGAGTCGCTCAACGGTGGTTTAAGAGACTCCTAAACCCCGTTAGCTTTGGTTAACTCAGTTAGCTCTTAGCTACACAGGTGTCAATCATCAGCCCCCACCCTAACAACCCAGCTCTCAGCCCCATTTATGTATTTTATGGGAGTGACGAGACGTGTGACGTGGTCAAGATGACGGTGGTGGAAACTGCCTACTGGGCTTTGATTCAGCTTATCAGAAAACTACAGGTGGTGGGGTTTGTCCATTACATAAACGGTCATTATATAAACAGTCAATGGTCTGAGCATTAGTCCTTCTTCTACCCTGACTCACACAGTGCAGTGGGGGTGGGGGGTGGAAATAGCATTTTATTAAGAATTTAGAATTAATCTTTTCATGCATTTTTTTGGAGCGATCCAGCTGGCCGCATTAAACCCCTTAGCGGGCCGGGTTTGGCTTCCAAACCATACCTTTGACACCCCTGACCTAGAATATCCGATAAATTAAATAAGAAAAAGTACAAATCACCATCAAGATTTCTGTTAAGATATTTTTTAATTTCCTCGAGTCTTTTATGCTATTTGTGGATCTTGTCATCTTTGCAATTTTTTTTTCAGTCCGCCTCGTGTTAACAAGTCTTTTGTTTTCCGTGCCAGTTCAGTAACTTCGACAGTTTTCCTTTTTTCCCCCTCCCTCAGGGGGGTAGAAACAAGCAGGCTCTTTGTTTCACCCACACAGATTACGCTTCTTTTTTTCTTCTGTGGTTCGCTCAGCTTTTTATCGTGTATATCTACAAGCAGGGAAAAGCAAAGCTGAACTACCTGTTTCCCAGCCGACTTGTTCTCGGTGTTGATCATGGTGAAGGTCTTGCTGCCTTTCTCGTACGTGCAGTAGTGACGCGTCCACGCGCATCCCAGAGGGCCTGGGACGGAAAACAGAAGTTCAGCTCGAACCGCTTCACTCAGAATCACAAGCTCCTGGACAGACTTCTGAAAAATCAATGCTCAATTAAAGCGCCGTGAATCAAACGTTGTTTATTACTGCAGATAGAAATCTATTATTTGCGGCTACACCCCTAACAAACATCTGAGAGCACATCAAAGTGAATCCAAGACGAATTATGAGCTTTGCGCTGGAGGATCTCCTCTGACGAGGCCGGGGAGAGCTCCAGACGTTTATGGTGATGGATGTAAAACCTTGCTCTAATTGAAGTGGGAGCGAGCGAGCCTGTAAGGACGGGAGCTCTGATGGGAAGACTCACGTTTCTCCTGGACAAACAGGAAGCCCTCCATCGTCCACTGGCCGGGGGGTTTGTAGTCCTGATCTGCAGACCTTATCCTGTTCATCAGCTTCTCCACTTCCTGCTTGGTGCTCACAAAGTTGTTTCGCGTCTAAATGGAAAAAAAAAACAATGTTGCTATTATTGCTGTATTCATTATAAGCATGAAAGATGCCTGAATTTTAAAGAAGATTCATAAAAAAATGACAAAATTACAACAAAAACCCCATTTATTAACACGTAGGAACATTTATTTGATTTAATCGATCATCGGAGTAAAAAAATAGGAGTCATAAAGGTCAACGTGAGGCTTAAAGGGGAACGCTGAGACAGCCTCACCTTTTCCACTTCCTATTTGTCCTCACTGCATTGAGACATGAAGGGAGGGATGTGGAGGGAAAACTGTCAGAGCAGTGCCACTGACATTTTGGGTCAGGGAAAAATTTGGCGCCTCAGGCTGAAAGCACCGAGGTCACAGTGATGGAAGCAGGGGGCATGGCAGTAGCTGCAGTTTTATGTTTAACTCTTAAGTGTTTTTTGACACAGCGCCTTTAAATGGCCCGCAGTAACAGCCTGCAACGCTGCACCAAAAAAAAAAAAAGCATCTATCCTGTGTGCAATCACACAGCAGAAACTCCACTTGTTATATCGCGCTATGATAAGCTGCAGAATCTGATTACGTGGCTGGCTGCCTTTGCATACAGCCCTTGAGGTGTTGAGACTTACGTTCTGTAGGTTGAACTGCAGCTGCTGTTTGTACGGTTCAAATTCATGAGCCAGCTCATATCCTTCGTGGTAGAATGTAAACAAACCCTGGAGAAAGGCCAGGAGCTGGAAAAGGGACAATATTCACAGGTGAGGTGAAATGCATCAGCGATCAATGAGTGGGTCACACAAAACCGTCACATTTTACAAGTGTTAAAAACTTTTACCATGCCAGAATGAAAGAATTGTCAGATAATCTTATATTTGAAAATCGGAAATTTTCAAGGGGGCAATTTTATATAATTGTGATTTAAAGTATATAACACATCACCACCAAGTGATATAAACAATAAACTTGAAATGATGAATATGTCTATTTACACTCAAAAATAGCTTTCATTTATTTTATAACCTCCAAAACTGGTAGTAATATTGGGACTGGGACAACCTGGCCAGAACAAATCTCCTTCTCCAAACACCAATCTACAGGTGAAACTCGAAAACGATAATTCAGTGCAAAAGGTCACTTATGTCGGCAATTCAACCTAAAAGGTGAAACTAATATAAGAGATACACTCATTACACATAAAGCCAGAAATTTCAAGCCTTAATTTGTTATAATTGTGATGGCTACGGCTTAAAGCTCATGAAAACCCCACATTCAAAATCTCAGACAATTAGAATAATGTGAAAAGGCTGAATATCCTAAGCTCACAATGTCAAACTCTAATCAGCTAATGAATCCAAAACACCTGCAAAGGGGTTCCTGAGCCTTTAGATGGTCTCTCAGTCTAATTTGAATGATTGAATTAGACATTTCCTTTCATGAAACTGCATTAAACTGAGCATTCACTCATTTTTTCACTACATCAGCCGTGCTCTCCAGTTTAGATAAATGTCTTGTGAGCTGTTTTCTGTAGAAAGAAACCTCTGGCACTCTTGTTTCAAGCAGCAGAAGTTAGCGGGAGGAGGTGGAGTCATGCTCATTAATATTCACCACATGTAAACAAACCGCCTCTGATTGGCTAACAGCAATGCAACCCTTCCACTGCCTCTGTTCACTTTTCTTTCTTGGGTAAAAATGCATCACTGATGTTTTATCTCCAAAAAAAAAAAAGTCTAGAGAGTTCTGCCATGCTGAGGAGTTTCTAATGCTAATGGTTAGCTTCTGCTAGCCGAGGCACACTCTGCTCTCTCCTGGAAGCTAAATCGACAGCATCTTTTCCCGTCAGAAGCTAAGATGGGTGAGTCCATGAACGGAAATATTTCCCTTTTGACCTTAGTGGCTTTTTCTGACCCAGGCGTTTCCTAATTTCTACCACTGGCTAATGGAGGAATTACGGGTAGAATGTTTCATGTTCAGCCTGAATGTGAAACTCAGAATGACCGTTAGTATTTAAGAAACACGTTTTATGCATCACTATGAGAATCTCTGCTTTAGAGCTGACAGATATTGATCTTACTTTCTGTATAACACACAAACATCCTTGACTGTTGTAGGGGAAAAAGCCCCGGTAGTGTAGCTGGAGGAAAAAACTGATCTCATCTGGAGCACAGAGGATCCCACAAACGCACAGGTGCACTCAGTCAAATCCTGCCGACGCAACCACTGATTTGATTTCCGGGCTGAGGTTTGGTATATCAAATGAACAAGGATGAAGCACCTTATCTGTGCCCGGATTCATCACAGGAAAGGCTGAGCCCTGTCATTTTCCTCCACCGCTACCTGCAGGCGGGAGATTTGCATTTCTGGCCCGGGTTACAGGGGAAGGTGCCAGTGGATGTAAACAAATGGGAGAAAGAGCCTTTAAAACAGACACTTTGATCCCATCTCACGTTTCTAAGCGTTAAACACCAAGAGGGTTTAATATTCTTTTCTAACTTTTGCAGCGAAAATGTTAAAAGTGACTTCATCTAGGAAGCTGTCGGTGAGGGATGGAATTGTGATGAAAGAGCAAAAAAATGTATATTTACTGCTTTAAAACCTCATTTAAATATCTCTACATCACCATCAGTTTTAAACCCCACCAGCAGAACCGAGGAAGGATTTAAAAAAATTTATTTTTTTCAAAAAAAAAAGAAAAAAAAAAGAAATTGAATAAAATAATACACCTATTACTTATTCCAGACAAACAACATTATATGTTATAGGCATCAGTTTGCACATATACTAACATATCAAAAGTTTGAAAGGGAGTAGGATGAAGTATAACTTATAAGATTCCTGCCCCTGTACACTGCAATTAGATGTGAAACTTCCAGTAAAAATCCAGTTTCCTTATTTATCTCTCAGGATCATCAGTGGAAGCAAAATTATGATGCATCCAGGAGTCAGTCAGTGTGAAAATGACTTAATATTTCTATCAAAAGATGAATGTAAAACAGCTTGTTTACTGGGTAGAATTTACGTAAAATAATGAAAGGTTTTGCATATTTGAGCTTTTATAAGACAACAGTATACCTTAGGGATGGCTGGTTTGATCTAGCCGTTAGCTCATCAGTCCAAAGGGAAATTTTTGGGATGCTACAAATCCATTCTCAAAAAAATCTTCGCAATTCAATTTATATACATTACATTTTAGAGACATTGCAGCCATTTTTATATATTATTTTGCATTCAAAGGATCTCTGGATGTCCACTGCTGCACAATTCCATGTAAATAACCTTGTAAAATTGCCGTAAAATTTAAAATATGACATCTCTAACCAGTCAAGCCATCTCATATATGTAAAAATAGATAGTCTTTCCATGACCCATAGACAGAACTCAGTCATGGGGCAGAGTCCACAATTTTCTTTCAAACTGTTTTTGCACGCAACTGGACAACGCTAGGACCAATCAGAGCTACGGACAACGTGATGCATTCATGGCTACTGAAACTAGTCAACGAGCCAGTCCGCCATACTGATGAAGAAACAAATACATCCTTTTTCTAAATTATTAACTTAAGTACCTCTCTTTGCTTGTGTCGCAAAGAAAAGCTCAAGTGTAAATCGTCCAAAGTTGATGCCAAAGTCGTTTCACACCAGCGCTGTTCCCAACGTTTCTCTACAAACGTAGAGCGCTGTGATTGGTCAGATCAAAGTAAAGCAAGTAAGTACATTTTATTTATACAGTACTTATCTCAGAAAGTGCAAAACAAATATTAGGTCATAAAATGATAATGATCTTAAACAAAACTGAAATAAATTAAAATAAAAACAACAAAATCATGAAATCATAAAATGATCAAACATTTCATAAAACAAATAAAAGATGATTATAAATTTGAGTTAAATAATTGTCTGGACCAATGGTAGACCTTTTGATTCTATGATGTAGCGTGGCTAGATCAACCTGCAGAGCAGAGTCTTTTTTGCCACTATGGTTAGTCTAGATTTCTAGGCTATGGCATCTCATGAAAACGAAGCTGTTTTAAGACGTCACCCAGACTAGCTGTTAGCTCATCAATCCTGCAGGACCTAAACTTTCCTTCTTTAAACAAAGGCTGTTCAGAAGTGCATCTAAAATTGGTACGGACAGAAACTCATTTCAAAATGTCTGAAAAGTCCCTTAATGAAGCCACATGAAGATGAAAAATCAAACTAATCAATGCAGCTTTGACAAGATGTCCCTTAAACCAAAGCAAAATGCAAAACAGAAACATATAGAACAGTTGGTGCATTCAGGTGCTTTTGGCACTTACTGGTTCAACAAACTCAAATTTCTTCTTCTCCTGCACTTCTTGTATTTTGAAAACATATTCAAGTGATGCATCATAGAAGACTTGTCTCTCTTTATCAATCTGTGTGTCGGCCTGACGAGAACAAAGGGAAAAAAGAATTAGTGCTTTAAAGGCATGGGTCAACCTGGGGAAGAGGACCGACTTAATGCTTACATAACCATGCAGAAACAGTGAGTGGTGAGAGAAGCAAGGAACAAAGAGTAGTGCACACACACACACACACACACACACACACACACACACACACACACACACACACACACACACACACACACACACACACACACACACACACACACACACACACACACACACACACAAAATGGCACACTCAGTCGACCATAAAACAGCATTTTTCAAATACAGGTAAGGATGAAGAAATCTGCTTTGGTTTTACCTCCTGCAGATACGCCTCTTTCTTCTTGGACGACAGGTTGAGGTGTCTCTCAAGTGTGGAGTAGTACTTCTCTGTTTCCTTATCAAATTTCTTCTTTACATCCTGAGACACACACAAGGCTTATACGTTAGATAAAACACAACAAAACGAATCAGGGGAAGCTCTCATCTTTGATCCGAGGCGTGAAAACGAATCACCACTAGGTGGAGGTCTCACTGCAGAACATTTCCACATGCTGCCGGCCACTTTTGATTTAAAATTCTGTCAATAGATTATTGTAGGTCATAAAAAGTGGCATAAGACACGTGTAATGACAAGCCGACAATGTCAGCACATCCATGTTTGATCAATACGGCGCTCCAGCTGAGGATGTGAGTTCAAATCAAAAATACTGAGCTGTAAATCATAAACAGAATAATGCATCTGCTATGCTCAGAGAGGGGGTCTGGCTGGATGCTGTTTGCATTTCCCTGATGTGTACAACTGTCCACCTGCAGGAATGAGCTCAACAATCACAGAGAAGTTTGAGAAAAGGGACTTTTCACGCCAGATTTCCAGCTATAGAGCACATGGACTCAGGGATTCTACATGGAAGAAAAAAGATCCTACTTGTGGGAACTTTATCAAGCTCTGCCCATGCAGAGAGGTCCTCTCTGGATGAGGGCATTCATGTGTCTTGTCTGCAAAAGTGACCTCCAAAATCAGAAAAAAGAAAGAAAACAAGGGCTTTGCCTGCTTGATGCCCATTTTGTCTCCATGTAAAGGCCAGGCGTGGTTTTGTGTTGGGGGTGGACAAAGCGTGAGGATATGGCCTCCAGAACCAGATCCTGCCTGCTTGTTTTTGTTCCCATGGCCCTGAAATTTAGCAAGTCTAATCTACCAGCTCCTGATATAAATAGTGTTTTGTCTCAACAACTCCCACCGCAGTTAAACGGAGGAATCCGCAGCAAGACACAGCAATGCCGCGACATACCTACAGCACAAAGAAATCAATACATCATTTCTTATAGCAGCATCTTTTTCTGTTTCTCTCATGTTGACGAGCCCAGAAATGATCTTTTCAGGACCAAAAAAAAAAAAAAAAAAAAAATCCATTCTGGAGGAGGCTTCATTTATGAAACAAAGAAAACAGCAAAAATGAAAATGTGATTAAAACACACAGACAGGAAACATGTTTTCCAGAGAGATTTATTCATTTCCTCCCATGGCTGCTGGTGATGTGACATTATTTGGTGAGCATGTGACCTACCAAAGCCCTCGGGAAAACACACACACCACACACACACACACTGGGAATCACTTTAAATTAAGAGCTGCAGCAGGAATCTCTCGGCTCTATCTGACCAGTGTGAGCATGCCAGAGATCCCCTAATAATAAAAAACATACATCTGGAGCGTCTCTTTCTCACTTACAAAGCGAGCAGAAGGTGAGTCGGTAAACTCGAGTCGGCCTGATAAGGTGTAAAGCTGTGTTTTGATCCTAGCGGGACGTGTATGAGCAGGTCCAGCTGTAATGACACCCTAGCAGAACACCAGGTATTTGGTGGTTTGTTTGCACGTCTGCACCTTCTTTTAATGTTTGTGCAGTCAGAAGAAAATATGTGCAAATGCAATTTAAAAAACTGAACAGGAAGTGTCAACTTTAAAGACTGAAATGTGGGACGAAGGGTCTGGCTGTGAGTGGAGTCCGACCCAAAAGAGGCAGCTTTCTTTGACACCACCCGATGCCAGCGCCGGAGACTGATCATCAAGCTGGATAGAACGAAAGCACTCGGCGGTGCACATGAACCTATCGCATGGGAGATTTTCTCACCTGATTGCTCTGTACTCAGTCATGAATAAATCAGATGCAACAGGAAAATGTTCAGATGCAGATTGTTCTGTAGTGGAATTTCCAACGGGTGGAGCCACATGCTGTCGTTAGGAGGGCTTTAATGGAGGCTGCACGGTGGCGGGATCTTTGTTAATTTCTGAACTCTTGAAGAAAAACACAACACACCCTTATTTTTCTGGTCATTGTGTGTGTTTTATAGAAATCAGTACACAAAGACTGCAGGAAGTATATGTGCACTCTGCAAGTTAGAGCAATGGCCCTAACAAGCCTCGGGCTGTCATTTCTAAGCCTTCTAACGGGTCTAAGCAGCAAAGGGAAAAGAATAAGGTTCATTTTTATAGAAAACAACCACATATATCAGATTTATCTGACACAATCTAATATTTTTGGTTTCACACCTAATGCAGACATTATCAGCAGCACAATTCGCCGCATTTTCATTAACAATGGATTCTCTGAGCGGTGGCATGAAATCGAGCAGTCTGCCACCTTTCTCCATGAGCTCATTAGAGGCAGCTAATTTAAGTATGGGTCCAGAGAGGTGAGACAATGGCAAAAGATGAATTATTTTGATGCTCAGCTGTTCTGAAATGGACAAGATGGACACAAGCCCTCAATTTGATTTCTGATGCTTTGCTAAAAAGACAAGAAAAAAAAAGCTTCCTCTACTTCTAAATCCTAATTTCTGGGAAGATGTAACAAACAGGAAGAGGTCAGCCAATTAGTAATAACTAATTACAAACATCTGCTTTGGAAGAATTCAAAAACAAATACCCAGGTCTCTAAATAAATCACATTTATATTCTTTCTTATAAACCCTTTAGTCTAAAATTTAGCTTTTATCCGCAGAGTTTCTGGATTAAAATCAGAAGTTAGAAAATATTTAAATGCTAAATATAAAATACATGCTTTGGTTGATATTCCATTTTGTCTTTGATCTCTGACGGACTCTTAGGCTGCACGAAAAAAGACGGCTTTCTCCATGAAATAAATCTTCAGAAATCTCATTTCTATTATGACTTGTGAAAGGAAAATCTTTGAAAAGTTCTGCAGGAATGTTGATCGACACCGTCGTCTATCGGGGATGTCTTTGGCTTCTCTCTGTCAAGAAGAGATCATATATTCTTCAACAAGCAGCTTAAAAATCTCAACAAAGCTTGAATCAACCACCTACGTTTATTTAATACCTAAATTAAGCCTGTCCATCCAACCAATTTAATAATGCTAACTCATTTTAGTAAATTCACTATTCAGTTAAGCTTTTAAGGTCAAAGATAAAATATTAAAATGAACTTTGACTAGCTCTGCGTTTGTTTCATTATTACTGATTATTTTCACAGAGATGTGTCTTTATTAAAGCCTGGAGGAATCGAGGAAAGCCAAGGAGTTCACCTTGAAGGGGAGCTGGCCGGAAACAAAGCTGCTCAGTCTGGTATTCAGAGTCACTTCCGTGTCAAAGGAGAGAAAACGCTGGAAGAAATGATTAAAGCTCTCATTCAATAGTTTTTAAAGCAAATCTGCTGTGGTCTCTAGTATGAATGAATACTTTGTGAATCATTTTCTGTAAAAAAAACAAAACAAAAATAAACTCTGGTGCTCCTGTTTCTGTTAATCAGAGAAGCGAGGGGCGGAAAATGGACGAATTTGAAGTTTTACTCATTAAAATCTATGATATCTTAACTCATTCACTGCCATTGACGACTAACGTCGTCATTTTAAATCCAACCGTTCACTGCCAAATGACGATTAAAGTCGTCATTTGCATAGTTTTATTATGTGGGCATCGGAACGAGCCCCCACACTGTGAGAACAAACATCTCAGCTCTAAAGCTGATCTTCATCCGCATACGTCACGTCACGTGATCAGGAAGCAGAAGATCCATGTGTTAGGAGATTGTTTTGGGCTGCTGCTGTAAAAAAAGTGAGGCGCGAACCGGAAAAGCTTCTGCCGATCACAATGCAGCAACGAATTGTGAAATAACGGATAAAGCTCGAAATGTGCGGATTCTTCCTGAAGTAAGTGGTGAGTCTCCGCTTAGTTTAGGTGGTTTTGGCGTTGACATCATCCCAGCGCGCAACGTTCTGTGACTCTTAAAAAAACAGTAAAAACGGTGAGAAATGCTGGCAGCGAAGGGCTTTACCGATCAGGAGACGGCTGGCAGCGAATGAGTTAATGTTTAGCCTCTGATTGGCTAACAGCAACTCAACTCTTCCACTGCCTCCATTCACTCTTCTTTCTTAGGTAAAAAATGCAATGTTGATGTTTTATCTCCACAAATAGATCAAGTCTGAAAGTGTTCCACCATGTTGTGGACCTGCTAATGTTAACGGTTAGCTTCTATAGCTGGAACCTGCTCTGCTGTCTTCTAAACGCTAAAGCCCGGGGCACACCGGAGGCAGACGCGCCATGCCTGCGGTTTTGAGAAGTCAAGTTGTCACACAGGACACGCCGCTGAGCGCTTCTTGGAAAGTTGCGTGATAGTCATGACATCCAGCAGGACTTGGAAACAGGAAGCGAGAAGTGACTCTATTGTTTCAACGTGATCAGACTTGCCGTCGTGTTTTGTGAGACTCGACTTCATTAAAAATGGGTAAGTACGCTAATTATTAGAATATTTAAAGATCAATAGAACTTTAAAGTTAATTAAACTGCGGTTGGGTTTGTGCCGTAAAGCCGTTCTGCATCATAATGTCTGTTGTAAAGTACTCCACAATGTTGTTAACAGATATGACTAACAAATATGGCTTGAGATGGAGCTGGCGCCTATCTTCAGTGCTTTGGTGCAGCACATCTCCCCATGTAGTCACTCTCATTAACTATAAAGGCTTCTATTTAAAATAACGGCGCAACACGGTGCGTCTGCCTCCGGTGTGCTCTAGGCTTAACCCCTCCTCTCCACCAGACACATGAGTGGTGTGTAACATAATGAAGGCTTCCGGGAGAGTTTCAAACGTGAAACAGGAGCAAAAGCATTACGAACAACTTGTCCCATGAGGTTACAAAATTACGAGACAAACGCAACACTACACGTGATTTCAGAAGTTCACGCAATAACAAGAAAGCTGCATGTGTCCAGCAAGGTGCGTGGTTTACTTTATGTTCTGCTAACTTTGGCTATGGAGGTTTCACAGGAAATTACTTATTATTAATTAAACAACTGGAAATCTGCATGTGACTTTTATTTTGACAGTTTCCAGATGTTTTCATGCTTGACTTCCTGTCTGGCCCGATCTGAACCGCAGAGTTTGATATGTTTTTGGAATTGTA